ATCTGAGATAGGCACAGCCAGATTCTCATCGCCCAGACAAAAATGATGGGAGCCATTTAGGAGCTGTGCTGCAGCCTGGGAAATCCAGAGTCTTGCTGGGATCCTGCCAGTGGCCCCTCTGTGACACAAAGCATCACCTTCAGCACCCCTGGGCTGCTTCTCCTCCCCTGAAAGGAAACAAGAATCGGTTTCCTAACGGCTGAAAAGTGCTAAAGAAAAGCTCAGGGTGGAACTCAAAGGCGCTCAGATAATCTCACATTTATTTTTTTTATATTTTTTGAGCGTTTCTTTCAGCCCTGCTGACAAGAGACTGATTTTCCTGTTCTGCCAGGAGAGAGCCTTGCTGATTGAGGCAGGAGTTACCTGTACCGTGAGATAAAGAGGCTTCCCGGAGAAAGAATAGAAAACGTAAGGAAGAAAGCAATAAGATGCACAAAGCAAATCCCTGCCATGCTTAATTGCACAGCACCCAGTCTGGGTCATCTCTCAGACTGAAACTTGGCCCCGGGACCCAAAAGCAGTTACAGTTATTGCCCGAGCTCAAATCTGTTAGCTAAGAACTTGCAGCACACTTGTGAGGCTCTTTGTAAAGGGGAAGGAGGGAGGAACTCGGCTTTTCTGGGAAAGTATTTGGCTTTTGTAGTGCCAGGAACTTCCAATAGCGCTATCACTTCTGGAAATTTCTACTTTTTTTTTTTTTTTTTTTTTTTCCATTGCATTGCCTTGGGAAGCCGGGCACGCCTGTGCAGGGTGGCAGGGTGGGGGCATTTCCTCTGGCTTTGCTCCCCATTTTCAGAAAGGCAGGCAGCTCCACAGGAAGGGGAGAAACCAGGCTCGGGCAGGTCTCCTGCAAGCTCTGGGTATGACAGCATCGAGCTCTGGAGCTGCTGCAGGAGCAGCGCTCAGATGTGGCCATCTCACAGCTTTGGGACACCCAAAGCTGCGATCGATGTGGCTAAAGCATCGATCGGGAGCAGATCTGCTACCTCAGATTTACTGCCAGCAATTCCTCCCCAGTGCACCCCTTGTACCCTGCAAAGACTCTCGTGCTCTTCCCAACGTCAGATGCTCCCTTGCTCATCCCCGCTGTGGGCTGGGGATGCTGGGGGCACTGAGGGTCCCACTGGTGACACCAGCACGCAGGATCAGTGCACGGGGGGGTGGGAGCTGAGACTTGGTGGCCCTCTCACCACATCCCTTCTGACACGAGACTGCAGAAAGCTGGAAGGGAGCGGGAAGAGGGGGGCTTGGTCAGACAGAGGTCATTCAGCGTGAGCAACCAGGGGTAGATGCCACATCCTGACAAACTGTGCTTGGTGTTCCCTGAAACAAGGAAATGTTGCTCTGGATGTCACTACTCCACCCATGTGGATGGAGGAGAAGGGGCTGGAAAGGCTCTTCCTGCATCTCGACCATGCAAAAGGTATATCTGCTGTTAGAGGAGAGAGAGATGTGGTTCTGGGTTTGGTAGCTTCACAGGAGTCCCTCAAAAGTTGTTCCTACAACATGTCCCAAGGGGCAAAGGCAAGCTTAGAAAACACCAAGAAAGGGGCCAAGTGCAGTCTTGGCTAGATAACAACTTCTGTGCTCAGCGAGATTAAATCTGCAAGGACACATAGCTGCGGGAAAGATGCAAATGAGGGTTATACGATGGAGGAGCATAAAGTAACGAATGTTACAGGGAAGGTAAATAAGGAATGAGTCACTGCACCTCGCACAGGACTCGTGTCTTCCTCTGACCCGTGCCCCTGGCTCCCATGGTGGAGACGCCCTGGAGTGTGGGTGCACGAGCGCTATGGGGGCTGTGGGCTGCGGGTGCCCTGTGTATGCTGAAGCTCATTTACACCTACCAGGCTTTTATGGGGTAGGGCTTTTGGTACGGGCTGCCACGGGAGTGTGCCGTGTGGGACCGGGGTGCCACGGCGGTGCCTCTGCTCGGGGTGATCGCGCCCAGGGTGTGGGAAACCGAGATAGAGCTTGGCTGTGCTAATGTGTCCCAGCACGAGGCGGTGGCACTGTGGGGTCCTTCGTGCTATTGCGGTGTGAGGCCGGGGCTCGGTGTGTCCTAGGGATGCTCTGAGCAGTGCTGTGTGGTCTCTGCGCAGTTTAATTAGCGCAAATTGGGAAGCGCTTTGGGCTGGGAGGTGGTGATCCTCTGGGCTGTGGCTTGGGGCAGTGGGGTGTTTCTGGGGACACTTGGGACCTGCGGGGAAGGTGTCCTGCGGGCCTGGAAACGGAGAGCAGAGTCTGCTCCAAACACATCATGGACAGCCGTAACGATTCAAAAGTGGCTCTGTGGGACTGGTGGGGTTACACTGGGGTTACTTTATTGCTGGGAAAAGGCTTTTTAGGTGGAGTCTCATGCATCATTTCAGGTCCTATGAGCTCTAGGATCTGTAAGGCTTCCATGAACTTACTGCTTGCTGCATTTTGGAGAAGGAATGCTGTATGAATGCCCTGCTTGCTGCAGGCCCTATTTTGTTTCCCTTGAATCCTGCTGCAATACCAATGCCTTTGAGCTAAATCAGTGTGTCCTTGACTCCCTGACCCAGCCTCTGGAGGGGATGCACCTTTCACTGCATTTGAACCACACGAGGAGCATCTTGCTTGTCTTTTTCTTGCCAACATCCCAATGGTCTTTGTATTTGTCTACAGGCTGCACTGTCCAAAAAGGAAATTTTCTTATGTGGGTAATGCTCCCCAAATGAAAGCATGTTCCAGATTCTTGGTATTCATTTTACATACTGTAAATGGACAGAGAAATCCAAACACATAGTAGTGTCATGTTCATTGCTGAGCGACCTTTAATTTCTAAATTTCAGCCATGTGCTGCAATCTACAATGACACACGACCTGTCCTTCCTCAGTGTCCAGAGAGCCTGCTCAAGAATACAGAGGTAGGACTCATCTGCATTAATTTTAGACACTCAGAAATGCTGCAAGACTCAGTGGAAGACTACTTGCTTTCCTAGCCTATAATTTATATGACCGTTCTTGGCTGTGCCTTCAGGTGCAGATTGTACCTGAAGAAGCTGTGGAATTGACATCATCAGCACATGCGATATTGATAGATAATCCTCCCAAGGAGTTCTGGATACACTGTTCCACAAGGGCTTTCGTAAGACAATTGCTTAGGTACTACATTCAAAGCCAACTGGAAATATGCACTGTCCTAGAAACAGCTTGGGTAAGGAACGATCCTGGTTGCCAATGCAATTTCTTTTTCAAAGTGTTGTTGTATAAGGTCCATCCAAAGCTGATTAAGGAGTCTGGGGTTTGGTGTTTTGCCTCTGTGCTTAATCCTCTGGTGTTTTCCCAGCCTTCAAAAATCTCAGCAGAGGGTGTTCCTGGAAAGGAGCTCTGTGCAAAATGGCACGGGGCGATGCCTGCCCCTTTTTCTATGCATGGATTTACAGGATGTGCCTAGCCTTTCCGATAGGCTATGAATCCTCTTTTCATAAGACACTTGTCAGTGGTAAGGATTATCCCTAAGCCTTGCCTCGAGTAAACAAGCTAAACACTCCTCATAGCTGAGATCATGTTTGTCTTTGCAAGGTTTCTTCTCTGAAGAGCCATCTTCTGAAGGAGATCAAGAGGATGCTGCTTGCTTACTGCAAGGAGAAGCAAAAAGGGTGAATTGAACATTACAGGCAGTGCAGATTATGCTTATCATATTGAAAGACAAACCCGGTACATCCCACCAATGGAGAAATCCTCGAGTAAGAGCAGAAGGGAGCTGGCTGGGTTAAGCAGGAGGAGAGGGAAATTATCAGAAGGTGTTGTTCGAATAGCTGAAGACAAAAGTAGGAAAAACTTCATAACCTCTGCCAAGTTAAATGTAAATTGAACTACATATTCCAAAAAGGAGTTGAAGGAGCAATGTCATAAGAATAAGATATAAAAAATAAGAGTGTCTTCAATTATACAAAGGCCTGCCACAGAGACTGGAGGGCCAGTGAATATCAGGGTGAAAAGAATACTTGGAAAGGGGAAGAGCAGAAAAAGATCTTTCTTCTCTCTCTCTCTTTCTTTTACACGTGATGCCTCTGAGAAATGGGGAAGATTCCTACAACAGCCAATACCTGACAGGGGAAAACCCACATGGCCATGTACCTGAGAACTAAGTGTGATGTCTGTATACAAAATGTGGGTGAACTACAGATCAATAAGGAATGGGTGATAAATGACAGAGAAACAGCACCTTAGAAAATGTTAGGTGATATGCTTGGGGTGAAATAAACTTATCTTCCCAAATAGTGGGCTTGGAGTTGACTTGGAGGGAACTTTATGGTAGATGGTCCCATCCCAGTGACAGCTCAATGTGCAACAGGGAAGCAGAAGAGAACAAAAATGTGGCTATTATGTCCCTAAATAAACCCACAACTTAGTCACACTTTGCATACTGAATGCAGTTCTGGCCTCCCCATCTCTGCAGGAAATAGTTTAATTGGGACAGGTTCAGAGTAGGTCACCGTGCACAATGAACCACGGCTGTGTCTGAGGAACTGGTCTGGGACTTCCCAGCCTGGACCAAAGACAGCCCATGGCTGTCTGAGACACTGGGGAGCATCAACTCATCTCGCTTTTTAAATATAAGACTCAGGTAGCTTCAAACACTGCTCTTGTGAGTCAGGTTCAAAAGAAATTAAGGTGTTTTTGTTTTGTTTTATTTTTTTTTTTTTTTTTCCCCACAACAAAGTGCGGATCCATAGAGGTGACACAAATGATGCTATCAATACTTAAATTTTTCATAGGTTGAAGTGGTGACTGTAAAAGCTCATGGGAGAGAAACCTTCTGAGGCTTGCCAAAGATGAAATGGTGGAGGAAAGAGGCTTTACTGCTTCATTCCTTGTATCAGAAAAAGCAGAACAGACCAGTGGTGAGACCAGTGGCTGAATGCTGCAGGGTAACAGGCTCTTGCAAACCTCTCAAACAGATGCTATATTCATTACCATATCATGGCAAGACAACAAAAATAAATCCATCCAAAACAGGAAGCTTGAAGAAATTCCAGCAATTTTTATTGATTTCAGCTTTTCCAACGAAGCAAATACATACAGTACAGCCAAAACAAAACTCTGATACATTATTCTCACATACCTATATCTTACAGAATACACTGTATAGCTATGGACTGGTAGGCTAAGGTGGTCACAAACTGGTGTATGGTCAGAGAGGAATAAAACTGCCTACTGCCTTCTACTCGTCCATGAGGCTTCTGAAATGCTGGGGTGGGTTAGATTGTACATACACAAACAAACAAAGCATTTTATGAGAAAATAGACCAAAAAGCTCTGCTAAGCCCAGGACAGACAAGTATGGTATTTATTTACATGGTTGTGTGTCCTGCGCACAAATCAAGCCCCAACTGCTCTTATTTCTGCTGCTGGCAGAGCTCACAGTGCTGCTAGCTGTGGTCCTTCCCTCCTCAGTAATTCTCCATCACTATGACCCAGAGCGTGAGCTACGTACTGTGCCCCTGCCTCACCCGTATCACTGGGGATGCGCCCTACTTGGCTCTTGCACAAGTGAAAACAAGGAAAACAGCTCACTGAAGCAGGTGTCAGAGTGAAAGACATGCCTTTAAAAAAAAAACAATGTCTCCCCAGAATGAAAAACGTTTACTTTGGAGGTGAGAACAGCATCCAAGTACTGCAGTGCTGAGCTCTGCCCCTGGGAGAAGCATTGCTTGGAAAAGAAGGTCCTAAGCTGCTGGTTATGAGCAACATCAGTTACTCCAGTAAGTCTGATTTTCCTTTCCTTTCACAGCTGGGCATCAGGGTCACTTCTCCTACTTGGGTAGAATCTGTAGTCCAGATTTTACAAGGAGAAACTGAGAGGAAAATAGAGTTGAGTATCAGAGAATTTCCTGGGGGAAAAAAAAAATAGCTGCAAAACAGCCCTGGGGTGGCAGGGCACTTCACACAGCACCCTGCCCTCTCAAGTTAGCTATATTTTGAGGTATGAGAGCAGCAACATGCAGCAGCATCATAAGGAAATTAAGATCGGAAGGGACCTCTCTGGTCTGCCCAACTCTATGCAGGGATAGTGTCACAGCCAGATTGGGCTGCTCAGGGCTGTGTCCAGCCAAGTTTGGAAGATCTCAGGGATGGAGACAGATTCTATTTTTATCGTCTTATTAGCTTTGAAAGAAGAAAAAAACAAAACAAAATAAAAAAACAACACCAACTTTACTGTACTAATAACATTTATGGGAATTATGTATCTGGTCCTTTGAGTTTAATACTTAGTAATGAAATCTCCAGTACTTGTAAATTTAATTGTGAGATGATTATCATATAGCTACAGCTCTTTGTGCCTAATATAGCACTATAGTAAACTGCATTACCGGTGAAAGCAGCAGCACTGTTTAAAAATAAAGCTTAAATAACAGCCAATTAGAATGAATTTCCTCAATATTCCATCATTACATTTTGTAGTTAGCTTTCCCCAATTAATTTTACAGGGAAAAACATTAGCTCCCAGGACTTCAGTCTAACATGTAATTACAGGAACAAATCTGAATGCAAAATTGCACGCAACATACTTTTACACCAAAACTGTAACAATCCTTCCTGTGGATACTGCAGCCATTTTGGACGTCCATAGTCTTGGGTCCTGCCAAAAACATTTTGAACCATGAAATGAGAATGTATATCCAGCTACGTAACATCTGACAGGTATGGCAAGGGCATGCCCACGGGCCCGGACTCCTTTGCTGCTGTTTAAATGCTCCTGAAACTGTCCTACCGGATTCACCTGGTTCTAGCTCTCCACTTCAAAGGTGCTTTTTTCTCTTTCATTTGGCTGGGAGCTCTGCACAGAAAGCTCTCGACTGAACGTGGGTGAATGCAAGCAAATAGTTGTTGCTCATTAAAGTGCACAAGATTAAGCCACCCTTTGTAGTCCAAGAGAAAAACCAGCAGGCAAACGATCTCCCTCTCTGCGGACACGTGCTCCATCCTGTCAAAACGGCAGACAAATGCCACCCCATTTCTTAGGTCTGGAGCTGTGTTAAAGCCAACCTGAATGTTATGGATAGACCCTCGGCAGTCACAAATCACAGAATATCTGTCAAGTGAATGGGATATACCACTTGCCACCAAGTGAGAAGGCTGACACTTAAAAAAAAGTGAGACTCTTTTTCCCTTTCCAGATTCAGCTTCATAACTCATCCTTTCCAAGCACCTCCTGAACCCTTGGCATCTGCAAAACAGGGTCTGGTGCCCCTGCACAAATGCATCCTTAGCTGGGCCTTTCCCTGGGTGTCTGAGCTTCTGACTTCACACACATGCTTATACTCCTTTGCATATTAATACCATTTCTTTACCTTGATCAGTACAAACAAATGGTGATTTAAAATGCCACATCCCTCACTCTTGAGCCCTGGGTGGCAGTCAGTGAGTGACCCTGGGGAAAACAAACTCCTCCTGTCTCCAGCTCAGCTTCTCAAAAGCCACATTTGTCCAGGTACAGTCATGAGATGGCGTTGTTCCGGCACTCAGAACGATTTGGGACCCGGTATATTCATGCTCTGCAGATGTGTTGTAATTGTCCCCTCACATATAGCTTCAGACAACGGTTACTGAGACCCAGGAGAGAATCAGCAGACGTCAATTTGCTTCTTGAGATAAAGAGTTCACATGACAGGAAAGAAAATACTAATAACTATAAGAGTTCATCGGAGAAAAAATCAAAAGCAGAAAAGAAGCCCATGTTCATAAATGTTAGGAATAACCAGCCTTTTTAAAGAAGAGTACTGTTGTGTGTATCTGTTTAAAATAGCCATATGCAATGGGGGAACTTAACATAAAACTGGTAATTTTTGTACTTGTGAGTAAAAATAGGCTGTGACAAGTATTTAGTGTGGCAGCATTTGGTGCATGGATTGGGTGGAATTTATCAAAACTCTACAAGGGGGTTAAACTGCACAAATCACACTGACTTCTGGTGGAAGACAGGGGGCTATGCCCGTAGGAAGATCCTACTCACCAAGTGTGCACATGTATGTTGTCTGCATGCACACATACACAGCAACATGTACATAGTTACACAGACACACTCTTTGCAAAAAAAAAATAATTATTGACATCAAGAAAGTATAACCTTGTTAAAAGTCCCTTCTCCCCCCTAAAAAGAAGAAAATGCTTAAAAATATCAGTATCATCCACATGAAATCCATATGTTTAGTTTGCTTTACAGTTGAGTTTAACTCAGAAACAATCTACATCTTTAACATCCTAAGTAATTGTGAAAGGGTTGTCTTCCTGGACATGAACCGATTCCAAATTCTGAAATGGAGAAAAATAAAGAAAAAAGAAATACCCAGATAATTAAAACATTCAATAAATCTTTTTCTTTTCATTCAAAACCAACTTTTTATCTTTTCCCTTGGCCTCTCCCCAGTTTCTGTGTTACCCATAGCTCTTCCCCCTGGACTCCCACACTCCTCTGAAGTATCAGACTGAGTCCCAGTGGAAACCACCCAACAAAGCAAGAAGCGAAATCCATGCCCAGGGAGAAGGAGAGAAGTTGGCCTTTGCCATTTCCTCTTACATCAGGACTGTTCTTAGTTTGACTGCAAAGAGTATGTTGGGGAAGAGAGAAATTAATTAATTCTCCATAAACTTGATACCACCTCATAGAGAGATCTGATACCTGAGAAAATGCAGAACTGGTCAACACCTTTCCCTTCAGTAGGAATTACAAATCAGAAGTACTTTGCAGATTCAGGCCTCATCCCACACTGAAAAAATATCCTAATGATGCTCTGAAAAATCTGCCCTTGATCTCTCTAACCTGGTTTCTCTTTTGGGATTATTTGGATGGTACCATAGAGTTCCAAATTTTGATATGAGGCTTACTGGCAGATTCTTAAGTGCTCATAAAATGTTTAAGCTCCAACAGCTTTGTCCATCCCATGGCATCTGCCCTGAGCCTGTCCAAGGCACACAGCTGTGTACTGTGGGCAGCATCTGCACTAAGCCCAGGAACTGCACGGCTTCTGACTTGTCATCAAACCAAATGTTTTGCAGTTTGGGCTGATAGGATTCATGATGAAGATGTCACACACACACACACACCACTTTGGGGATGACTAAAAAGAGCAAAATGCTGATAGGGCTCATGCACTGCTCCTCTGCCCTCAACAACCCTTTCCCCATGGATGTGGGCCCCGTTCTCACCTGCAGCCCAGAAGTGCATGGAGAGGCTCCTAAAATCTGGAGGAGAGAGTCCTGAAGGTTGTTCCAGCTAAAGATCCCATCATGTTCTTATCAAATCCTTGCTGAAAAAGCAGATGTATACAAAGCGCAGTGAATGTGCATTGCCTTCAAAACCAATACCTATCCATTGCTGTGAGACTGCCTCCTGCCCAGTTCAAAAGCTGTCCTCCACCTAAAAAGCGTGAATCATTCTCAAACAGCCTTCTCTGCCCTCCCTCTGCATGCACTCAACACGTGAACAGGCACCCTTGTAGATGGACTTCACCTTCTTGCTTTGTTCTCTGCCTGCTAGGGAGCTGGACTCCTCCAGCTTTACTGCAGGAAACCTTCACGTGATCCTTCACTCAACATTAATTCATCTTATTCCCCATCCTGGAAACATGGCAAAGATACATGCATGATGCATATACCCTTGCAGACTCCCAGCCTGCTTCTCTGATGTATATACCTATGTGATGAGCACAGGAGTGACTCAGTCACATCAAAATGAGTTGGCACAGGCTCCTGAGCAGAGCCTGGTGCAAAGCTACACGAACTCCTATGGAGAAAAGTCCCTAACCGTTAATAGAAGAATGATATTTAGGTTCTCTCTGCCTTCCTGCCCCCAGGGTATTCCCCTTTGTGGATGTTACTCCTTCTCTTTAATTTGGCCCTTTACTCTCTGCAGGTGCTGCTGTTGTTGAGTTGGGAAAACCCAGCTCGTTCAAAGCAAGCCACTGGGAGCTGGGAGCTGGCTCAGCGCCCCGTCTGCCTCGGCACTTCCACAGTTTCTGTTGCAGGGAGCAAAACAAATCCTAAAAACTCTTCTTATTGCTTTTAAAGATTATCCTGACTGTAGGGGTGATGTGACCGCAGGGAAGGGTTACGGATGCAGACAAAAATGGGGGAAAAGGGGAGGAACTTTTGTGAGGATTTGGCAGGATACACTGATCCTACACAACGGGCTGCGATGGGGAAGTCCCTAAAGACAGCCCCAGGAGCTGTGGTTGCGACCCCTACTGCCTCTTCCTCGGGCCGTATGTGGTGCCTGAGTGCTGGGTGTCACCGGTCCCGTGCCTCGGGCTGCTCCCAGCCCCTGCCCGCACCCGCTGCTGAATCACGACCTCTGCAATCTCACCGTGAGTCAAGACCGGGGCTGCTCTGTCAGCCAGGAAGCAGCAGGGCTTTCCTTACCTGCTTCAGCACACTCTGCAGCTCCCTGTTCGACCAAAGATCTGTCAGGAGGAGGCGAGCAGCTTCAGCCGCTTTCGGACAGGAGCTGGGAAGATGAAAGCAGCATGGGTGAACTCTGGATGGTCCGCAGAGCAGCGGCCCACAGACATCAGGACGTGTTACCCACAGCCTACCTGAGCCATCCCCATTTGGAGATCCCATTTGGGGATGGCTCAGCCTCAGAGGCCTGCCCGGGAAACCTTCGCTGCTCTCTCAGCGAGGTTATGTGACAGCAGCCACTGGGGCCAGAACAGGACGAATGAAAAGGGGAAGATCAGAGCAGAGAAACCGAGTTGAAGGAGAGCTTTTGGAGAACTTCTGGGAGAGTAAGAGAGGTGTACAAAGGTGGCAGCCTGTCCCTGGGCTCTGTAGGGACGTCGTGGGTGAACCCTCAGGAGGGCAGTGCAGGGAAGGGCCCCGTGCTGCCTGTGGGGATGAAGGCAATGGGAGCATTCACAATAACAACATCTGTAACCAGAAGTCCTTACTCAGCACAAGTTAATAGATACTTGCTCATGTAACAGCTCCGAAACCATGAGTCATAACAGTATCTTCTATAATTTTGGAACATTTCATACGACAACCTAGATCTAAACCTCACTGCTGGTTGTTATCACTGCTCCTGATCTGCTGGACCACGTCCTGCCCGTGGGAGACTCCTGGTGTAGGCCCAATGCGACAACCCCAAACTGTCTCAAACAGGGCGATGAAGGGGAGACCAGGCTTAGGACCCTCCCTGGCTCCCAGTTTCAGGAAAAGTGTCCTCAAAACAGTGCATTAAAGGACAGGAGTGGCAGAGCGATCATCAGGAACCACTCGGGACATGCAAACACTGTTCCTATGAGTCTGGAAGGACGAGAATCTAACCCCACTGAGTATATTTGGGGCTTTCCTCTCACATAAACAGCAGTCATTACCAAAGACCTTCTAGCATACAAGAAATTCCCAAATTAATCTGGTTAGAATCACCACAGGGGTTGTGCAGATCACATATGTTGGTACTGTGTGAGGACTGGGGGAACCGTGCATAACCAGAAATTCTTGAGCAATGTTTTGGGACAGGAGAACTAGTTTTTATTGCAAAACTATTTCTATGGTTATAACCAACCTATACAGTCATCAGAATGACTATATGCAAAAAAAATGTTGTGGTTGAAAATAGCATCTGACTGAAAAGCCATTGAAAAGCAATAAACTTTTGAGGTATTTAGTGTTCAATAGTCATGTCCCAGATACTTTTTTTTTTTTCAGGGATATATTGTTTCATGTTGTTTTTCTTTTTCTAAGACAGACTGATTTTATTTTATTTTTTAAATAATTTGCTTCTAATGATGCCTACTATGTTCTTTTTGCCATTGTGTCTTTAGAGCATTTGTAGCTGCAGCATATAAAGCAGAGCTGTTAACTCTTAATTTGAAGGATTGATACTGGCTCTGTTACACACAGAGTATCCAGTACTATTATTTAGGTATTTTTCAGAGAGTTGCAGAAAAAAGAAGAAAATGACATCATAAAAAATCAGTAACCGTAGCTTGATTTTCAGAAACAGCAACACACACAGGCACAAAGATAACACTCAATATTTTGGCAACCTGAATTAAAAATAACAGAGAGTGAGCAAACACCATCATCACTCTGAAGCCTATGTCATAGGGGAGGATATATGCAGGAGATTGAGACAATTATCTAATTGGGATGCTCCAGGAAGAAGAAACCACAGCTATCAGATAAACTCCTGAACTGTTCATGCCTTTCACTCAGAACACAGCTACACATAGCATTAAGAAAAAGAAACCCTGACTTTGAGGAGAGCTGGGTGTCACTTGAGAAGTACGTGAGATGGGAAAGTATACACAACTTACTTGTCTTTAGCCTGAAAGTTCTTCCTAAAATATGAATACAAAATTGTTCAAGTGTGTTAAACACACATTTGAAGCTTAGAGCTTCAAATGCAAAGAGAGCCCAGTTCAAAAATCTTAGAAATGTTTGGTAGGTGGCAGAATAAACACGTGGCAGGGGAGCATTATGCAGACACGTCAAGCAACCAACACCAATGCTTGGGGAGAAGGAAGTGTGTCCATAGGGAAACTGAGGCAAACAAACAGAGAAAGCACTGCAAAATGCTAACAAGGGACATGGGATGGCCAAACTAAGCCAATTTGTCAATTAGCAGGGTCAAGTCACTAGAGAAGAGATCTTTTTAACATCTGCCCTATGGGAACAGTCTAAAATAATATGGTTGGAATAAATTGAATTAGTCTTGGATGTCAATTGTTGGCTTTTTTTCATAAGAATCAAACAGCATAAAAATCCACAGGGACAGAAATGAATAAAGGAGTAAAAGGATGAATTCAAGTTCCTTTTTTGGCAAGAATCAGAGAGCTTCTCAGGAGGAATTTGTGATGAAGACAGGAGGAACACACTGAAGACATCTCCAGAGTTTAGTAACTCTCACAGTTCCATGACTCATTGGAAACAAAGCTCAACACACAAAACAGGCAAGACAATTAAGGTACGCACAACCCTGGTTGTGCAATATTCTGCTGAAGTAGTAAATTAGCCGATGACTTGTCTGAGGGAGCCAAAGCGGGACTTTAGGCAGAAGTTAATGCCATTCATAACAATGAAGACTTAGAAGAGGGCAGGGTTTTGTGTTAATTGGGCTTGTTGCAGAGTGGAAGCATATAAAAGCAGCAAAGTGACTGATATTCGTTGGCTGAAGTCCAAACTAAACAAAGAGGCCACTTCTAATGACTGAGAGTCTCTTTGCTGCCATGAAACAAGTGGTAAGTTGTACGTGTTTTATCAAAGGATGATGGAGAAGTCTTTTCATAACAGAAAACAACAGGTTAATTGCATAAGGTATTTTATAACAAAGACAGATGGGAGGAGAGATGAGTTTTGGAATGGAGAATACGTGGTCAAAGGCTGTAAGCTCCATTGTAAGTTAAACACCAATTTACTACCTGCAAAACTTAAACTAAATCCCAAAAGAAAAAGCAGTAAAATATGTTGAGATTATTTAGCTGTTGAAGTTCATGGCATATAGGTGAGGAGATCTACTTATAAAAAGTAGATATAAAAAAAAATAATATGTGGTTCATCTTTGCCACTTGAGGTGGGTGCTCCAACCAAAAGATAAATAAATTTGAACATTAAATCAAGTATAATACTAATATAAAAGCTGTGCCTGAATCTCAGACCTGCCCTTCATGGTAAGAGCTGCAGGAAGCTGTCAGTGAGAAGCCCAAGTCTTCTGAACACCCCCCTGCTTTGAAGGCTGGAATTTTTAGCAGGGTTTAAGATGTTGGTCCCTCAGTTCCTTTTATACTTTCTTAAAAATCAGCGAGCAAATTTCCTGAGGCTCTTTTACAAATCCCACCCTGGATGGCTCATATCTGTTTCCAAGAAACCACTGCTGAGGATTTGTCTCTACCAGCATGCTCGAAATGCATCTGCACTCTCAATTTACAGGTACAGGGAAAGAATAATGCTTCACTGTGGCTCTGAAGTGTTTTCTGAAGGCTCTGATATTAATCTGGCTTTGCACAGAGTACAGGGGCTCAAAAATGTCTACGTATGACCCTCTCCATGCCTTCTGCCCCAAACTCACCCATTTCGGCACAGGCTTACTACATTATTTAACATGTTGCTTGTCAGGTAACACTTTCCCAGGTGTGGGTTGGACATGATGAGGTTCCTCAGAGTGTAACAAGCTGATGTCATGATCTCGCCATAGCTGTTGGTATTTCCAGACTGGAATGACAGGAGACGTGATACATCTGGGAGCACCTGGTGAGCTAAAGAGGTGGAATGTTCCAATCAACATTTAAATAAAACCTAGCAGAGGTGAATGACATTATTTGTGTTAGCACTATTCAATGCAAGAATGCAGTGTTATCCCCTGAAGGAGGCACTAATAATGCTGGATGGTAATGGCATAATAGCCTATCCTTGTTTTTTAGAGCTAAGATGAGCGCTGCAGGCTTCTGGAAAGGTAATGATTTTGGCTATGGGTAGTCAAGTCCAACTCAGTTCCCCAAAAACTATCATCTGCACTACATCCTCATGACCTTGCAGAGTTGTCATTATCTATAAAGCACACCACAGGCTTGTAGAGACTGAGATAGCAGGCATGTTGCTAAGCCTTCGTATATCACTTGTAATGGTCCTTCTGACCAGAACAAATGACACCGTTTTGCCCAGTCTGGCTGAGTCCTGTTATGGGGTTTATAAATTGAGGTGGGCATATGTTAGAGAGGTAGAAACTAGACATTGTTCAGGAATCCACTGCGGTGGAAATTACTTACCCATGGTTTTGTGGAGAACAGGATGTCGGGACATATTGCTCAGCAAAGAAGCCCCGGACCGGACAACTTCAGAGCTGTTGGACTGCAGGAGCCGTGCTATGCGAGGCAAACCTTTTTCCTTCACACCAATCAGTTGGCTCATTGCATTGGACATCTAGGAGACAGAACAGTGATGTCTCATGACTTCCCATGCTGGAAGGACACAACTGCAACGATGTGCAGGTTCAGACAAACACAACCACACTATAAAATACCCATCTGCATAACACCTTTTCCTAGCGTACTCCCACTTACTTTGTCATTTACCCCTCTTCTCCATAGGAGTTTGCAAAGTCAGCCTCCCATCCTCTGTCATACAACTGGGACTCCTTCTGGAGGCCTGGGGGGGGGGGACACACTTGGTTGCCTAACTGATATTCCCAGTAGTTGGAGAGATTTTACCTTTCACGTCCACATTGCCCTTGCTCAGCTCCCTGTTGTGCCACAGGTAATAGGCTGCTTTGGAGCAGAAACAGCTAATGATACCTTTAAGAAACAAGCCAAAGGCCAAAAGTACACATCTTGGTTCCTGATTTCATGTTTGTTTACGTAAATCTAGAAGACCTTAGGGTGTAGCCAATGCCGCTGGGTGCTCATGGACTTTGAAGCACATACCAATAATACATTGCCCACTTATTAATGGAGTTTAATCTGACCTTCTTGACTACTGCAGCACCAGGCAGGCTGCTGGAGTGCATCATGCCCCTAGAGGGACACACATCCATCAGCAGTGACATGGGAACAGGCTGGAAGGTGACCCCTTCCATGGGGCTGAGACTCAATTTCCTTCCCGTGCTCCAAAGATGCACAGATGCTGTGTTACAGACTCACACCAGTGGGACTGAGATGTATAAAGGTGAGAGTGGGAAGAGATTCAGACTCTTCTTCTGAAAGCTAAAGGGTTATAGTAAGCTTTGCAAGCTTCTTCCCTATTTTCTTTTTCCTTTTAGTGACAACAGACCCAGCAGCTCACCCCACCTCCAGCTCTGAGCTGGAGCAAGACCTTTGAAAACCAAAGCCACTTCTGCACATCCAGGGCCATTCCAACCATCCCTGCGAGAAGTCTGAAGTAAGTTGTTGCACCACTGGCAGAACTGTTTTTGTTTGTTTGTTTGTTTTCTTCCTCCCAAAGAAAACATTCTTGTGTAATGATCTTGATTGCTGAAAGCCTTTTCATTTCCATGGAGCACGTAGCTCCAGCCCTGTGTCTCCGATCAGCTCTACCCTTCCCGTGCCAGCCTTCCTCCCCATTGTTATTAGTGGCACGGTTTTGTTAAATGGGAAAAGAAAAAAAAAATCCCTAAGTATTTCACACTGAAAGCCTTGTAACACAAAAGAAAGACTCGGAACAAAAGCTCCCAGGAGATCGGAGCTGGCAGGTTAATGCCGTCCCAGCAGCACAGGCTCCTTCCGTGAGTCACGCCGTGTTTCTGGGTGGAACGCTTCGCACACGTGACACACCTCTCCTACGTACGAAATAATTACCCCTTTATCTCCCTAGCCATCTTATTTAAATTGGAATTGATGAAGTTCGACACAGACAAGTCGGGGTTTGTCCTTGTGAATGCAGCCTGTGAGGACATGCCCAGGGCAGCGATATTGGGCACTGCGAGCGGAGCTGTTGTCGTGATGTGTCCCCTGCCAGCCCCGAGCCCCTGCAATGCCCACAGTGTCACACAGCCCGTGTCACCTCCGTGCTGCCACACCAGCGTGTACAGGACATCTGCAAGGGTAATTTTACAAGCAGCTCTGGTGTGAGCACAATCCACAATCCACAGCACAACCCACCCTGTTATTAGAGCCACCTCCTGCTTAGGAAACACACACATGGTCGGCACACGCACATCCCTTAAAGCATTCTCCCTGCTTTAAGGACAACTGTCCACATCTGTGCACATCCTCACTGGTGTCCTGGGGGAGGTGCCAGTAAAATAGATGCTGGTGATATGACCTACAGAGTGAGGAAACTCAGAGGAGCCCCTGGAAAGGCGCACGGACCTGGGATAGACCCATGGGGCACTGATTCTAGCCCCCATTTGAGAAAATTTTTGGCATTTATAAGAACTTGAGATCTTAATGGATCTTTCCACTGTGGAAAGCTCTGCAATAGTGCAGTAGTTTAAGGAGGACATTTCCCTTCCTGACTACCATAAGGTGCTGATGGGTTTGGTTGTGTGTCTGCAGGGGAGAGCAGCACTTACCAGCCCCCGGCTCGCAGTGAGGTTCTGCAGGGCTCCAGCACAAGCCTCCAGGGTGGCATCCTTCTTGCTCTGATCCATCAGGGACAGGTAGGTGCGGATGGCATCGGAGTGGTAGAGCCAGCTGGGCCCTTTGGGTTTAAAATCCTCCTCAGGAAGGGGGACACCATACTCGTCATTCTACAAAGAGATGAGAAATGGGAAGTTCAGATCCTGCTCCTCACTTGCAGCCCCTGCTTGGGGCTGAACATCACATTTCCAAGCCCTTTGCAGCGTGTCTTACCTCCATTTTGCCACTCCTGCTGTTGAAGCAGCCTGTGAGAGTTTTGTCCATGTAAACACTCCGGGCCATGTGGTTGAGCTGGGTGTATTTGTTGGGAACTTCGGCATCCAGGCGGTAGGAGAGGTTGTGCAGGATGCAGATGCAATTCTCCACAGACTGAAATCACCCCCAGAACAAAAACGCAAGGGTCACATTAGGCAGAAATATGGAGCAGCACTGTATATAGGTACAGAGAGGACATCTACCATGCCATAGTTATCTTTTCTAGCAGCTAAACTGCATCAAGTCTTGATACTAGATACCTGCAGCCAACACCAAAACACACAGTTACATTTCCAAACACCTGGCTTCAGTATCTTCTGCTGGAACTGTGTTTTTTGTTTGTTTGCTTGTTTTAAAAAAGCTGTCCCCTAAAGAGGATTTGCTCAATCCTGAGCTCATTTGAAATATTTTTGGTTTTAATAGGCATCGTACTGGAGGCTCTGGGATGTCTGGCTAACATAGCAGATGTTGAGCTCCTGAAAATGTGCTATAAACTCTATTTTGTCCAAAAAAGTGCCTTTTATACACAGTGATCAGTGTCACAGTCAGCGGACTGGTAGGGTGAGAGATGGAGGTTTAGATGCTGGAAGGATCCTGGGTGGGAAGATGAGGGAGGGGAGCATTCTGGGGGCTTGGGAGCCAAATTATTTTGCTGTGGCTCTGTGTTTGGTAAAGGGAAATTGTAAAACAGACATCTACTTTAGGCCAAGAGCACAGCAGATTTGCAATGCTATGACAGATTGCACTGGGATTTGGCAGGTCAAAAGCAGCCACAAAGAGCCCAGTCCCCTCTCAAGCTTGTTTGAAAGGGGTTTGGAGATATTCTGAAAGCTGCAATGAGTAACTACGGGGCTGAACCCAGGCAAAGAGCCGAGGAGGAGCAGCTGGTACCTTGTCATCAGGTCGGTTAGAAGCCACGCAGTTCTGGGCATAAGTCATGACTGAATCGATCAAGCCAGGGTAATTCCTCATGGTCTGGCGCCCCATGTCTGCAGAACTCAGGTTTCTGAAGAGAGCCGTGGCAGAGCACGTCAGGAGGGAATAAGAAGAGAGAATTAGTTGGCTTCACTCACTAGTCTCTATCAGCTCTTTTCTCATTACGGCCCTGATTGAATTTATTTATTTTTTTTTTCCTATGTTCAGCAAGGACCTTCTGTATGATTGCAGTGGTGCAGAGCTCTCATTTTGCTCTTCTGGATTGATTCCATAGGGGCAAATGTCCTCTTAAGGAACGCTGTATAGCAGACATCCTCCTAGTGAGAATGATCAGAGGCCACACATGATGTTACACAGACTCATTGCCTCCTTGTGTCCAAAAATAAAAAAAAAAAACACGAACATGCAAATGATTGTAAACATGGAACTACAACTACACAGGGTCTACAGCAATGCCTGTGTAGGGAATGGGAAGGACCTGGGGAGGAGCAGCAATGGCTCTGACCAGTGGGATTGCCCAGCTCCTCATTCATTCCTGAGTGCCCAGCAGGTTGCTGCCAGGACTGGGGAGTTTTTCCAGTAACAGGAAACGTTTTTTTGCCTTTTTTTTTTTTTTCTTCCCTGTTTTATTGCCTTGTAGCTTGCAAATGAAAAACAAAGAGAGGTTGGCAGTCGCTGTGAGATATTCACTCCAGGCGTTCCAGAACTGGATTTGATGTTCACTGTGATTTGCAGCCTCTTCATTAACATGAATTCATCTGCAATCCAGAAATGCTTGAGCAGCAATGGCTTGAGCCCAGGGCAAACCCAAGGCTGTTCTCATCCCTGCGTGATGCTGTTGCAGCGCAGTGAGTCAGAGCTGGCCTGGTTCCCCCCGCAGAGCAGGGGCTCCCGACCATCTCACCCCACTTTCCACGCTCCCCGTGCCCCCACACCTTCCCAGCTCCCTTGCCATCCACCAGGGCCGTCCTCAGCAGGACCCTGCTGCTGCAGCCTGCAGGACAGGGGCAGAGCCTGCCTGGAGCTACTCTCCATGGAAATCTGGTTTTACACTGTCCCTGCGCTCTTTCCTTCATTTTAACGAGCTGTGTTGCAGCATCGGTGGGTTCAGATGGTCTCAAAACGGGGGGGCTGCATCCTTCCACACCGCGACGTGCAGTTGCACGGGGAAGGTTTTTCCAAGACGGGGAAGGGAGCAGCGCTCGCTATCTTTCAGACACGGTTCCCAGCCACAGAAGACGATAGTATCACGTCTCAGAAGGCCCCTGCCGTGTTCACCCATTTCGTTTCACAAGCAGATACAGCTCCTGCTAGCTGCGTGTCTGGTAAGGGTGCGGCCGGCGCTGCGCTCCCTCGGGGAGAGCTTCAGTTGATGAAAGTGCCTAATTATACCAGGTAGGTTTTTTTTTTTTTTTTTCCACTTGTTCCCAGTGAGACAAGGTGCTCGCATCCAAGTGGAGGAGGGTGGTAGGAGAAACAGCAAGTCAGGACGAAGATCCTCTACAAAAGGGCTCTGGCTTTTCTCTGAAAAAGTAAACTACTCCGGGCTCAGTCTGCTCCTCCTCTTTTGGGGGTGACCCATCTGGCAAAAGAGGCCAATACGCAGCAAGCTGCATGGGCCAGGGGTGGCAGGTAAAGTCCAGGGCAGTGGGACTGTTCTGTACTGAAACAGTTATTTAAATTAGTGGGAAAATGCTTGTTATCCCCATATAGAGAATTCAGTCTTCATATCACCCAGAACTCAGAGCGGTTTGTTTTCTAGCAACCAGAATTTTCTCTGGAAACCTCAAAATATAAGGGCAAAAAGTGCCAAGATTCCTGGTCTAAGCTGAACACTGTCAGGTTTCAGTATTACAGCTCTCCAATTACAAAGCAACTTACAGTTTTTGAGCAGAGACTTCACAAGAGCAACCCTACTTAAAAATAAACAACACCTACTACAAAAATATTTTGCATACATTTTTTCTTCACCCTCTGCTAGTCAGGAAAACTTTCTCAGAGGGATTTTTTTTTTTTTTATTATTATTAACAGCATTGCAGCAAGTGTGGTTTTTAGCTTATTGTAAGAGGATTTAGGTAGATTCAGCTCTTGTCAACACACAGCAAGCTACACTAAGTCCCTGCTTGATGACTCACCTCAAACACCCTGTGGCATTGAAGAAAACTTCTGGGTCAATAATTTCTCTTGTCCTGTTGCAGCCGCCATCAGACCAGCCAGAGAAAGGGATGATAACACAGTCTGTCAGGACGGGGAGGGCCTCCTGTATCAACTCTTCCTTTAATTCATCGGTGGAGGAGAGGTTCCAGAGCAGTCCTAGGAAGGAGACGGACACAAGCAGAAGGTCACCATGCATTAGAAAGTTTGAGATCAGGGTGAATTCCAGCAAAAAAAGTTCTTGCTCCTACCATCTGGACTCAGGGTGCAGGGGCTGCCCTAAATCCCAGTCTGCCCGTCCCCATAGGAGATGGGCAATGGGAGTGTGATATCATGAGGAGGTGTACATCTAAGCATCGTCCCTCCTCCCAGAATTGGTGTTTATATTGTAATCAGGTTACGGGAGGAAGGCATCTCTCCAGGGATCTCACAGAGGTTTGCACACAGGACCTCAGGTACAGCTGGGGGTGACCGGCACCAATGAATTCAAGTCAATCCTTCAAGAAAAGGAGAGACCCCAACCAGACGACCTGCCCAGCTGTACCGGGATCAGCCAATACCCTTGTCCTTCCCTGCACAGGGTCCAGAGGGCCAGGAAGGCATGGGAATGGCCGGGCAACATCAGGAAAACCTGGAAGAGGCACAGCCCTGATGAGCAACTATAATTTGGGGAACCCCTGCAGGACACCGAAGGGCAAGGACCTGCTCTGCTTTGTGTCTTTGGTTGCCATTTCATGCAACAGGACCACAAAACATCCTCTTTCTGGTGTGGCAGCACCATGGCTCTGTGTGTCGGGCAGCATGGGATGGGAGCATGGGGTGAGCTCCTCAGAGGCTCGAGGTGTCTGGGCTGACACCAGCTGAGGGGCTCTTGGCAGTCTGTCACGTACCTGTCAGCTGCTTCTGAATTTCGGTGTTCCCTGTCCTCCGTAGGAGGCTCACGCACTCCCTTATCCCGTTCTGCCGCCGGGTTTCTATCTTGTTGGTCGGATTCCTGAAGACCAGATTTCGGAGGGCTCCAGCCGCTGCCCGCTGTACGTTCTGGTTCGTGCTGCGGAGCAGCTCGACGAGCTTGGCGATTCCCCCGAGCCGATAGACCTGCACCAGGAGAGACGTGCTGACATCGGCCTGGTGTGCAGAGCATCGCCAGGAGAAGGACAGCTATAATTGCAAAGAGTCAGCGTGGAACCTACTCACGGGACCTGGCAGAGGAGGATGGCTGGAGCCCTCAGACAGCACGGCTGGTTCTTGCCATCAGCCGTGGCACCAGGGTGCTGTCCTTGAGGTTAGAGCTCAGACTCTGGAAGTGGATGCCTATGAGTAATGGCCATGGGCTGAATTTTTGGCTGGTGTAAATGTGTTTGTTCCCACAAACTTTCACCTACCTCCATCCGTTTACATCAGGAAAAAATGTTGCCCTGCCTACAACAGGGGCCATCCATAGCAATGCAATGACATGACATGGTAATTTATCTGCAGCCTGAAATCACAGGCTGAGCTGCGGTCACGGCAGAGCGTAAACACCCTCGGGGGCAGCCAGCAGTACTGGGCCGTGCTCCAGCAGAGAAGAGGGAAGGGTATGGGCAGGGGTGGCACTGGGAAGGGGCTGGAGCCCTGAGCTGCAGGACACTGCATGCACACCATGGGTGTTTGAAGGCAGAGCAAATTCTCTGCTCAAACAAAAAAAAACACAAAAAACCAACAACATCCAAGCTCTCCAAACCACTGGGGGCTCCTGCTGAAGGATTCCCCCTGTGCCAAGTCTGCTGGGGACACAAGCTCACATGGAGCGCCTGCTTGCACAAACAAACCTGTTGGCTGGAGATTTGCTGACAATAGAAAATGAATGAGTGCATTTAAAAAAAAGAAAAAAAAAAAAAGCAACCAAGTGTGCGCTCAGATGACTCACATACCTGCTCTAACACATCTTTCTGGGAAGCGATGGGACAGGCGGGTGCTCACAGTGTTTTCAACGGTAACGAAGGGTGTGGTCACCCTGCAATTAGCGACTGCAACGTGGGCTGGGGTCCCTGCACTTCAGTTCAGCTGCACCGGGGACACAGAGGCACATCTGCACCCTGTGCCAGCATGTGCAGCTCCACCACTGCTGCCAGAAAACTGGAAGCCACCTTTATGCAGATGCTGTCTTGAGAAACCCACATTTACATGACTGCAAACATGCCAGGACGCAGATAAACTTTTGTGACAGTCTTGCTACGGCAGATCCAGCGTTGAAACTGCCTCCCTTGCTGCATGGTGCCATAAATTTAGTAAGCAGAAAGCAAGAGCATAAGAAAAATAAACTTTGCTGTAAGGAGGGCTTCTGCTATGGCCAACCATCTTTGTACGTGACCACTGATGAACCCGTTGGCTTGAATAGATGGCTGAAATGTCATTGAGCAATGCACAGTGAAGATCACAGCAGGATTTAGGGCAATTTTGTGTGGCTCTGACACTGCAGCTCTGAGATAGCAGAAAATTCACGTGGAAGCAGGTGCAGATGCCTCCAGAAGACAACTGTGTGTTTGGGTGGCTGCTCCCATACCACCCTAACCCTTCCATCTCTATCACAACGGGTTAGGGTGATAATACAGTCACAGCCTCCTCTGCTGCCTGCTAACTATTCCCCTGTGTTAAAATACTGACCTGACTGCTATTAAGAGAAAGTGGCCACTAATAGTTGAAAAAACGACTTAATTAACTCCTGTGTGGGACTAACGAGTTATGAGGCTCCATCATGAAAATCAAAAGGACCTTGCTGCTGAGGACAACCAATTTCATCCACCTCATGTGGCACCACATCCAGTATGACAGCAGAGCTCTGAAGGAGTTTGCTCACCTCTTGCTTGGCAGACTCATCCTGGAAGCAGGTGTGCTGGAGGTAATAAGCACCCATGGCCTGGTATTTGTCATCGGAGGAGCACAGAAGTTGTATGGCTTTCTGGATGGTCATTGTACCGCCGTCTATCTCGTCACCACATATTCTATGTTAAAGAGAAATGCAGCATTGATTGAGTTCTTAGCTGAAAAGGCTACTTCAGTACTGGTTGTTATTAGGAAGGAATCAAATACAAAATGCAAAATATTATCACATAAACCATATTGTGAATCCCTATCGCATTTCTCAGTCTCAAAAAAGAGATGATAAAAGTGGAAAAGATGCAGTAGAAAACACTAGGGCTAATGAAATATGGATCCACTCCATCAGCAGAAACAAAGGAGACAGAAAATAGAAGCCTCTGATTGAGGTGCTAGAAGTCTAATTATGTCTAAGGCAGAAGGATTAGAGAAGAGAGAGGCAGTATTCACTGGTGCTCACATAAAAGAATTAGTGGGCAAGAATGAAACCATCCGCCAGTTTATTAGGGCAATCTAAAGTAGACAGATGCTTTTCCCACAACACGTGGTCCTTTGATGTGAGATGTGGTGGAAGCAAAACTGTGAGAGCAGCTGATGGTCTTGGAAGGCTAGAGCAGGAAAAGGTGACAGGCATGTCTGGAGTGATGGAATGGACAAACAAAGAGTTTATGAAATACTAATAATAGCACTGAGACATCCTGCTCCCAGGGCATGTTTACGTCAGTAGTCTCCAAGCTCTTTGTAAAAGCCAGTCATCGTCATCATCCCCTGTTACAGGTAAAGAATCTGCCTGCAGAATCTGGAGGAAGGCTACATTTACCTCTGGCTTGGAGCAGGAGCAAAACCTTGGGTAAAATGCAAACACCTGAAGATTTGCCCCCTTGTTTAGAAATCTCAAGGTCTTGCTGTCTTTGGCTTGTACTTATTTAGCAGTACTGATATTGATTCCTGATGTTTTAACCGCATCAAATTAGAAAAAATGTGTACTTTCATACTGATGAAGGGGCTCTGAACTGTAAACCTTGTCTGTGTTTCCAATTATATCAGTTAGTCTAATAAAAGTTCTTGTCTTATCATCCTTGCCCCTTGGGCTTGCAGCTGGCTGCAGCAGGATCTCAGCTCACGGCACTGATTTGCACCAGAGTAAATAACCACACCAAATTCAGGAGTGAGAAGAGGTGAACCCCAAGCTTCTGTTCGGTTATTACAGTTCCAGCAGTGACAAGACGCAAATGGGACAGTGGATGAAACCAGAAATTGTGGGCTTTGCTAGGATGGATTGGCATCGTCAGACAATCCAATAGACTCTAACAAAACAGAGATATTTTTTTAAAAGATTTTTAAATGAACCTATTACATTTGAAATATTAAATGTTACTAGGAGGGAGTGACTTTTTTTCAAGTCACCCGGTGTGCAGAATCATTTTCATTGTTCCAAAGAAATATAAGAATAAAGCTCTATAAAGGACACCCAGATATGGTCCCCACCTCCAGCAGCTCACAATTAGATAAAATATTTTGTTCCCAAATATCTAAAGGCTCTCACCTCCCCACAGCACAAGTCTATGAACAATATCCTAACTCTATAGAAAATCTCACACAAAAGCCAACAACCATGCTGTGCACTGAAAGACACAACGAGAGACTATATATAAAGTTGCACCTAGTTTAAATTTAAATTAAGAAATAGGTACTTCCAAAGAACAACTTGCCTTTCTGTCATCAGCATTTATCGTAAGACAGGAAGACCTGCCTGCTGCCTCTGTTGATGTAGAGAAATTAGATAAAATCTTGCATGATACCTTAAATGTTCAATAACTAAAGTTAGATGAACTTCAGTGAACTTCAAAAAAGTGAACTTCAAAAAAGTGAACTTCATTTCACTTCTATTTCCACTCTAAAAATAACATGTCACTTCATCATATGATTTTTCTTCATTTGAACCTCTACCAAAACATGGCTCCAAGAAACTTTCATTCGACTTGAAACAAGAAAACACAAAATTGTAAAGAAGGTTAAACTAGAAGCTTTGGAACCTCAGAAATCTTTGGTTTGGATTCAGTCACAATCAGGTTCAGGACACTGATTTTCTCTTCATCTTTTTTGTCTGCTCTGAGACACAGGACAGAGCTGAAACACTGACAGGCTCAGCACAGATGGCACCAGAGGGAGAAATCAGACCTGGGTCAGTGGGACAGGGAGGGAGGCACATTAATAAAACTAACAGGTCAGTGGTCATGCAGCATATGTAAATATGCTGTTTTGTCTGTTGGTGGTGGGTTTATTTATTTATTTCAATGTATTTTCCAGGTTAAGCAGAACCCTGAAGCAGGAGTATTTTTCATGAGAAAGAAGGATGCCTGTTCTGTCTAACAGTTGAAGGAAAGCAATTTCCTGCACATCCACCTAATAAGAGGTCCAAGCCCTCTTTTGGCAGGGAAAAACTAAGCAGATAGATCCAGTTCTGCATGGGATAAGATCCATTTCCTCTGCTGGCTCGCTGCCAGGAGCAGTTCACTGAGGGTGAGCAGCTGGGATCTGTTGTTCCCGTGGAGAAGCAGCAGTGATTTCTCCCAGCTGAGAACAGAATCGCCCTGGCAAGGCCCGTGCTAACAGTTTGTCAGCCAGTCAGGGATATTCCTAACCAGATCAACACCATGAGAACAACAGCCTGCTCCAGGACGAATTCTTGGAGCACCTGCCATCTCCAACCTGGGCCAATGCGCCTGGTAGGAAGAGCTCCAAAGGTTGTTCTTCCACAAGAAAGAAGCAATCAGAGTAAGGAGAGACCTCAATTAGAAATGATTCATCGGGAGACAAATTAGATGATCAGATTCAGGTGTGGAAGGGAAACAAATACTTAAGAGTGTCAGTATCACAGAAAGGGAAATTCTCTAGTTTGACAGTAATGTCTTTTGTTCACTTTGTATTAACAGATTAGTTTGTGTTGAGCAGATCTAAGCCTCCATCCTGGTTGTTAAGCCCCAGCAGAGGAGGAAGCTAGGAAACTGTAACAAATCGCATTGTTCATTAACAAAATGAGAGTGAAGACACTCAAAACCTCGAGTGAACCCAGCACATCCAAGCCTTCCAGAGCCAGGCCACACAGAAGCAAACCAATGGTGCTGCTCCATGCCAAGCAGCCACATTTGTCCACGGGACTCCACCCAGGTTTTGGTGCCACTGAGAGCTCAGATGAAGCTTCCCCTCGGGCTTTGCTAGGTTGGTAGACACCAGGGAGATGGACACTGAGCCAGGGACAAGGAGATCCTCACCATGAGCAAGCTGTGGTATGAACCGCACCAGGACAGCATCATGCACAGCTCCCCTGAAATTGCTTTGGATGCAAATGCACAGTGCAGACGAGTTCACATCACACAGAGCCAGCATGGTGAAACAGCCATTTTTAGAGGCAGCTTATCCTATACAAAAACAAAATAATATCAAGATGTCTGCTTTTCTACATGGTTCTGTGTTCATGTGTGGCACGGTCCTGGAGAATTTCTGCTTTGATACTGATTTCTTTTGGTTAATCCCCCCAAAGAGGAGATCTATCAGAAACCCCCATAAATACCTTTCTGACTCTTTCAATAACTTTTCTGTGTTTTCCCTGTTTGGAACATTTCCAGAGGGACTGAACTTCTGCCTAGGAATGTAGGGTTTCAGGACACACTGTTACTGTCCCTGAAGTTTAGCCACAGCTCACAGGGGTTGCTGCAGCTCAGCTTGGGCCAAGCCAGGGTTACCATAGGCAGATGTGACCATATCTGAACGGTGCTTTTGCAATATTGAAAATCCAAAAGGTTGCCCCAGCCTCCAGCTGAGGCAGTCACCTGGGGCTCTGGAGTGCACAGAGAGGCACTGACTTTGCCAGCAGGTAATTCACTGACCTACCCAGATTTCAGCTCCCTTGGCCACTGACTGCATCTCTGCAGGGGCAACGGGGACACTGGCTCAGATGCAGGCACCTCCTGTTGGAGCAAGGCACATACAACCACTTGGATATGGCACAAACTGCTGCTGAGCCACCTGCACCGTGTGTCACCAACCCAGCTGGGGCTGTCGGTCCCATCTGAACACAACACACAAAGCACTAAGTGCACCGCATCTGCAAGCAGAGCTAAAACAGCATCAGCCAGTGGCAGCGCTACTCTTCCTGTGCTTTGAGTTCCAGCTGGAGGAGGAAAAAGACTCAAGGACTTACAGGATGCATTAAATATCACACCCTTTATTACTGCTTCTCATTATCACTACTTGGTGAGCCAGGAGGGCGTAGAAGCTTCACTCCCCAATCTCACGTTATTTAGCTAAAAGCTGCTGACTAGTTCCAGGTGGCACACTGCCACTTGGAGCGTGTTGCCACAGCAGAGAAGTGCCGTCTGCCAGAGGAAGTGGTTACGAGGGGCTACCATATGTGTCTTCACGAGGTGCTGGAACCACAGCTGCTGCCACCTCCCAGGACAAGAGGGTGCAGATCCGCAGGGTGTCAGAGCAGCCTAGGAAGGAGAAGGGTGCTGGGCACCAGCAGGTCTCCCTCCAGCTCCGCCAGGTAGAAGGACTTGCTCCACAGAGCTGTATTCTGGCAAAATATGTATGGTGCACCTTGGTAATTGCCTTTGGGCAGGAGCCACCAAATTAACCCACGAACTTCTGAGCCCAGAGATGCTGAGCTTGGAAATGCTGTTGCAGATATCACATAATGCTTACAAAGCCCCTGAGTGGCTGTAGAGAAGTGTCTGGAAGGGACATCCCGACCCTGCTCACCGAGGCAGGGCTGTAACCACAGGGATGGTTGAAGAAAAGAGACTTCAGGAGGAGGTTTCTGGCAGCAGGTCTGTGCTGTTTAACCCCCCGACCTGAAGAAACAGTGCCAAACTCAGATTTCATCACCAGAGCCAGTGTTACGGGGTGGGTAAAACCCTACAGCATGTTTTACTTTATGGCACAAGCTTTTCCCCCAAAACATTTAGGTGTTAACTTAACAGCTCAACAGCTAGCTGGAGGAAAGGCACTTTCCTCACCTAGAGTCATTGCTGTAAGAGCAGGGACTCTTCTGAGAGACAGTTACTGAAGAGACAGCTCTTCCATTATACAACCAAAGCTGGTTCAATAAATGGAAACAATCACACAAACATGAATAATTCCAGAAATTACATAACTTTGTGATCAAATGCTGTTTCTGCTGTAGGGACTGCTTGGTACACAGAGCTGGAGAGCTCTCACTGCCCAGTATTTAGATATCCACACACCGCTTTCACTACCTGGGAACGCCAAATGTCCCCATTTTCATCTCACACCATCCAAAGAGAAGATCAGACCCGGAGCAGGAGAAGCCTCAGGAGCAGAGCTCTTGCACCAGCACTGACACTGTTCAGAGCCCCCGCATTACAGAGCAGTTCCTTAATAAACAGAGACTCAGTGGCTCGCCGGTGCCACCAGCCCCTCACCGCAGTGGAAATCTCCCCATCAGATTGCCTCTCGGAGCCTGGACACCACCGGGCCCTTCCCTTGCTCACTGAGACTGTTTGCCAGCCTGCAGACAATTTATCCACATACACAGGAGGTTCGTATGGTGAGAAGTGAACACAAAGGAAGAACAGAGCCTTGGACAGAGGACTCCAGCAGCTATTCCCCAGCTAAGCCCTCTTCCGGCACACAGCCACTAATAATGGGTTGCCTACGAGCAAACCTCTCCCTACCCAAAGATTAAGCTACCCAAATGCAGATCAGCTCCAAGTGCAGACTCCTCCAACCAGAAACGATCCTACACAGCAAAGAGAGCCCAGGCATGGTCCTAACCCATCTCCAGAGGGTCCCTTCCCAACAGAAGCACGCCCCAGACCGAGGCTAACAGCAGCCTGCCACATGCTCCATAAGGGCAACTGACCCCCCAAAATGCATCATTTTTCCAAAGAGGCCAAATCCTTAGTATGTTATCAAAATGATGACGACAACAACTGCCAACCTCAGCTCCTTAGAGCCAGGAGCAGAGGTGCTTGCACAAACTGCTCTCCAAACCCATCCGGCTCCGCAGTGAGTCTCATGCGAAGCACGGGGGTGTGCCCCAGCCAGATCAGATTCACGCAGGGGACACAGCCCCCGTTGAGCCCAGGACTTGAAGCCCTCGTTTCCACACCAGAACCAGTTCTGCCAGATGAGCAATGCCCCAAGCCAGGAGAACTGTCTAAATGCAGCCACTCCCTGACCAAAGGGCATCCAGCGCTGGGGAGGATTCCTCCCGCAGCAGCAGTTCTCCTCCTCTTCGGAAAGTGTCATTATTCTTCCAGTGACCTCTCCAAAGCAATGACCAAGTCTACAGCCATAATGCTACACAGTGCAGTGGAAAAGCCTGCCTGGGACTGATTTCTCAGAAGCCTTGGTTTCCCCATGTAGAAGCCAGCTGCAGCCCCGTGTTCAGTCATTCTGCCATCACTCCCACTACACCTTTATGCTCTTTACTCAGAAATTCCCTGGAACAAGTTACCTCCAGTTTATGTAATGTCTCCATTTCTCATCCCGGAGGAATTACAGAGCTTCTGAAATGAGCAAGCCAACACCACTGGTGCTCCAGGTTGGCTAGGGCTAAATTTGCATGTGTTAAATTGAAGGGAACTGGGCACAGGGGAAGTCAAGGCTTCATGGCAACATGCTAACGGGCAGGTGACTTTCCTTGGCATAGACACTCTGGGACCTATTTACCCCACTCAAGGTGAAATGAAGGAGGTTAAGCAGAGAATTAGCCAGAAAAATCTGGAAATTGACATTCAGATGTGAACAAGGGCACGATCTGGCTCACACTGCCGACTGTGGTGGGGGATTTTCTCCATATCTACAACACACCTTGGGTCAGAAGCTCAACAAAATCCAGCCTTTGGTGTGAGCTGTAACAAAGGCTGTACTCCCTGTTAAATACCCTCTTACTTATCCTGCAGTGTGCAAATTCCCTTCTGCACCAGGGACCACGAGAAATGAGCTCAGGAGCTTCCAGGGTCTGTGACAAACTGCAGAGCCTGCATGGGAGATGGGACATCTGGGGTGGCGCAGAGCAAGCCCTGTTTGCCAGTGATGCAGCAATGGTAATGCAGCAGCCCCTGGGAACACCTATGGGAGATGCAGACCCTCTTTCCCTAGCCCAATAAAGCATCACAACCTTGAACAAGATATTTTTGAAGACTACTTAAACACCAGAATATGTTTTATGCTCCAAAGTTGGAGGCAGTGTGGCTCTCAACATCAGGGGAGCTTTCAATAAACATCACTGTAATGCCATCAAAATCCCACTGATTTTTTTTTATTTGGAAAGTTGGGTGTTTAGTTTGTTTGTCTGTTTATTGTTTGGTGCTTGTTGTTTGTTGGTTGTTTTGTTGGGTTTATTTTGGGATGAAAGCTCTGCTGCATTGTACAGAAATATCAGCTTGGTGGTGTCTGAACTCACCGTTGTGTTTTACACGCCCTACTATCGTATGAAACATTTGCAAGAAGGGACCTGATGCTAACTGAGAGGACAATCCTCTCAGTTAGGGACAATCCTCCGTAATTCCCGGCCCAATGGAGCTGAATGCTCTGGACAGGAAGGAAGTGAACAGCTTCCATTCTTTCCTGGCCAGGTAAATAATTCCAATTAGGAATCAGTTAGGAATCAGTTTCTGACTCATTTTTTTTTTGGAACCTAAATCAGACCTTCTGGGGGAATGAAGCAAGGACTGGGTGGAAAGCCAGCAGGGTGAATACAACTGCTCACCAGGTTCTCAGCTCTGCTCTGAGTCAGACCCTCAGGAACCAGCTCCTTAGCTTTAGTTGTTTTTTTTCAGGTTGGTTTTCTGCCAAAGCAGAGCAGCGTGACACCCAAAGTGCACATCAGCATTTTCGCTCTTCACATCCCCACCCTCATCTTGCAAAGGAGCTGTCGGCCAATACCACCACCGAGACACCATCATCTTGTCCAGCATCCCACAGCTGCAGCAGAGACATTCACACTGAGCCAACCACACTGCTTTCCCTCCATAATCCACAAAGAGAAATAAGCCCTTGGAGCGTGACTCATCTGACCCACTTTAGACGCCACTGCAGGATGCGATTAAGCATGGTGACCAGCTCCCCAGTGGCTGTAAAGCAGCTCAGGTGACTAGCTCAGACGGACAGACCTCCAAAGGAGAAGTCAGCATTTACTCGGGTTCATCCCATGGCAGCAGACTTACCTGGAGCTGGAATGAGTCTGTCCATAAACCACCTCCTGCTTGCCGCTCATCACCGGCTGGGCATAGACCACATCGGGCTTGTTGCTGGAGGGGCAGGAGAGGGCCCGTGCTGGCATTTTTTTACTTGTCCTGGTAGTTCCTTGCTGGGTGCTACAGCTGCTGTAGATGCTCTGGCGGTTCAAGGTCGCCTTGTGCTCTGCCCGGCCCCCGACCTGACTCTTCCTCAGCGTGCCCCGGGGTGGTTCGCAGTAGAGGTCGGGCTCGCTCCGGCTGCTCTTGATGTTCTGCACAAAGCAGTAGTCGCTGCCGGCCCTGGTGGGGCTGCAGACGGCCTTGCTGTAGTGCTTGCTGCCCCAGCCCTCCATCTGGCTGTACGAGCTGTAGCGCCGGTTCTCCACGTCCCGCTTCAGGGTCCCGTTGTACAGCTGATCAACAAGAGGGGAGACAACAAAAATCAGGAAAGGTTGAGATGGAGATCACCATTGCCAAGCCCTTTCATGCATGGGTATAGCGGCTACCAAATTTGTTTGCTTCTCTGGTATTTTTGTGGCCCAATCTCCTGGTCTTTGCTGCGTGAGCCTGGAAGGAAGACCAGAACCAGCCTCCTTTCACAGATCCACTAATATATTGCACCTGAGCTGACTGATTTTAAGTGCCAACTCCTTGAGGATCTGAATCCCATTCTGCATACTTCATTCTCATCACAGGTGTTTATTTGCCAAGCAGAGCACAAACATCAAAATGTTTGGGAGTTCAGCCCACCTGCAGCCCTTAGAAGGATGCCAAACCCTCCCTTGAAATCTGGGGACTCAGTCACTGGGATGTGGCATCCAAAAACTTGGTATCAGAGGTGAAAGCTCAAACATGACCCTGCCACGAGAGCAAATGCCTTGTTTTCAACACATGGGGTTTAACCCAACTCGTAAGCACAGGAAAGGTCACATCCCATCTCTTGCCATCACAGAATGCTGAGCCATTCTGACCTTCCAGCACTGCCTGCACTTATTTTTCATTTCCTTATGGTATTTTGTTCCTCTTTCACCTGTGAAATCCTTAGAAAGAGACTAAAGGGAGTGAGAAAGTGGTAAGAAGGGATTTTTGAATCTCATTGTGCCAAGAGAGCAGTGGGACAATGAATATCTGCTTATGAATTACAAGGTGTGTTGTGTCAGCTTGTACAACAGCTTTGAGAACAATGCGGGATGTGATGTAAGAAATGACAAGACTAAGCCAGGAAATTAAGAAAGAAGGAAAGAAAGGGGACAAGACAGTAGAAATCCCACTGCAATTAGTCAAAACAAATGATAGCTTTAGTTGTCCTGCTGTCAGTTTGAAATGTCTCCACCACTTCACCAAAAGTACTCCAGATTTTCCCCAAGTACACCAGGACTGGATCCAATATTCTCTTGCAATGCTAAAGCTTCTGGATGTCAGTCCTGTGATACAAGTTACAAAGGTGTGTGTTCCAGAAAGGTAAAAAAATAAAGCTATTTTAGTGCTGTTTGCCCCATTTTGCCCAAGTTTTTCCATTGTATCCCTCTGCACCCTGACAAGCACATCTCCAAGAAACAGAACAAAGAGGCATAAAAAAAACTAAAGGATAAAGATGGTGACAGAGACCTTCTCCTGAAGGCTTAGCTCATCTCTGGGAAAAGCTAGTCTGTGGTCTCTTCTTGGGCTGAGGGCTTTTTTCCTCACTGAGTTTAAGCAGATGCACTTTGGATACCTCTTTTTGCAACAGCTGCCCAAGGGTCCCTTGGGCTGGGAGAGAAAAGTCAAACACTGACACCTTGGTATTTCCATGGAAATTCATGGCACAAGGTGTGAAAAGCCTGTGCCTAGTGCAATAATCCTGTGCCTATCTAAATATATATATATAAATATATTTCTAACCTAGAAAAAAAGGTTAACCATGCAAAAAAGAACTTGGTGTCCTATGCAGAATCACCCTAATCCCGCTGCTCTGCCCCACTTCATCCCAGCCCTGAGCACACTCAGCATCATTTCTGCCTCCAACACTCTGCAGAATTGTCATTATGCTAATTAATTAAGCCAAATAATTCCATTAACAAACTGATCTTCAGGAATGCAGTGAATCCTCTCTGCTGCGTCCCAGAGACTTGCACAAGTAACGGCTGAAAACTCAGAGCGGGTTGCGCAGCAGGCATGCTGTCAGGATAAGAAGGAACACTTCAGTCCGGTTACACTGGACCCAGATTGCTCTGCCACTTGAGCACAAGTCAGAAGTCGTTTTGATACTTTCATTCTGCAGGTTTGCATCTAAACAGGTGAATTGCTGCGAGGGGAGAAAATTCTCTTTGCACTTACTCCAGAGGACACAGAAAAAACCTGTTCGTACTGCAGCACGGCAGATAACAGGTTTGGTGCATCCTGCAGAGCTCCCAGGGATTTGGAAAAAGAATTTGCATGCGATAAGAAGAGCAAGGACGAGGCTCATGGGCAAGCACGGTGAGTCTTGGGGGCTCCTGCAGCAGTGGTGCAGGCCCACTGAAAATTTCATGGTGGCCACGCTGCAGAGGTGCTCTCCATCCCAGTTTTGCTTTGGCCAGTGCACACAACAATGCCAAAATGACTTTCAGAAAACCATGGGGTGCCGCTGGGGATGAATACATCCTTCCAAGGCTGATAAAATCTTCATTTTTTTCTTCATTTTCCTGGCTACTTGCTCAGAAACCCTCAGGACAGCGAGGGACGGGGAGGTGCAGGGTGGCCTTTGGTGGCTCACGGAGCGGGGAACCCACTCTCAGGGCTCAGGGCTCGTAGGACAGAGCCTGTTAGATGGGAGCCCTGTCACCGTGCTTTATGAGTCAGTGTAAACTGGGATTATTTCGTAGGGCTGTCAGAAGCTTGGCAGAGCCATGGAGCCCCTGGGCATTTGCTGAAGCCAATTCAGCTAACTGTGGAAGAGCTGGCTTGTTATTTAGCTAAAGCTATTGTTTGCTTTCCAGTGCACTCGCATGGGATATCTGCCAGCAGAGCGGGCGAGGGAAGGTGTGAGTGCGTCCGTGTTTATAGGTGGGAATTATCAATTCTGTATTTCCTGCTGCGTTTTATAGTGGCACACAGCATTGTTCTCCTCCTTGCCAGCCCTGGGAAGGGTGAAGCAAAGCGACCGCCTGTTTGGAAAGTCTCCTTTCTGCAACACAGGGAGCCCTGAGCGGCAAGTCGGTGCAGGCCCTGGCAGGGCGGGGAGGCCTTTTGCAAACTCATGGGAAAATAGTTCCCGTGTGATGTGAAGCTCATTACCAAAGTCAGTGCATGACTTTTATTGCTGATGCTACCAGATGCTTGGCTGAGCCCATTTTAATCTCTTTCAAGTGGCACGGACCTAATTGGTATCTTAGAATTCCTCTTTGCAACAGGAGCCTGCACCAAAGCCTCCAAATCGATGAGGAGCCTCCTGCCAGCTTCAGCGGATTTCAGATCTGTGTGCCAAATGGTCCCCACAAATCCCCACACCAACGTAGCTGACCCGATCGCTTCTTGATCTCGGCAAAGGGCCACGTCCGTGCCTTAAGAGAGGCTTTTTTGGACTAAGACCCACATCCCCACGCCAGAGACCTTCACTGCTAACAGTGGAGGCGATGCCATTCCATGGTCTGTGGTCTGAAGAGCCACTTGACAACCATCTCCTAATTTTTGCTGATGCCATTATGTGTGTAGGGCGAGCTCGCCCTCTGCAGAATGGCATTAGTGAAAGGAAATAATCAATCTCTCACCTTCAAACCTCATAAACCGCCCAGATTTCCTAACACCTTGACTTGCATCTGCCCACTGCTTGTGGGTGTTTGCATGGGGGAGGCGGGCCAGGTCCACACCTCCACCCTTTAGAAATGCTGGAAAAGACCAGGAATTCCCTCAAAGCAGGGTGGAGGCAGAAAGCAGTGATTCCCTCTGTCCTACAAGATCTGGAAATCATTTCAGAAGAGCGGTGGCTGTCACCGAGCCTTCTCCCATGGGACCTGGGAGGTCAGGGCAGCTCTCCAGGTCTCTCCTGGGATGCAGGATGCTGCTCACGTGCAGCATCCCAAATGTTAGCCTGAACTTTTCCTCCCTACTCTGAAACGAGTCTGTACATTTGAGGCCAAGCCTTGGGAGCCGTTCATTCATATTAAAAAAAGGAGGGGAGGCACGGGGAGGAAAGGAAGTGAAGATGAGCCCTGATAGCACGCAGGTGCTCTTATCAGGCCCAAAGACTAAGTGCTTCCCTTCACTGGCAGCAGCAAAGAAATGCCTTCAAATTAATAAGCGCTTTGGAGCACCAGCTCTCAGTCTGAGATGAATGCCCACTTAAGGAGCATTAACTGTGACACCCAGTGCTCACACCAGACAGGTAAATAAATAAATGTCTCTCGCCTCTTGTTCCAACCGGGAGAAAAATGGTGCCAGAGAGAAAGTCAAAATGGCTTTATTTCAGTCATTGACTATGTGTCCTTTTCTGACTTTTCTTCCAGAAAATCTTCTGTATAAGAGGCAAAGGCCCTCTCCTCTGGAGCACAGAGGAAGGCACTGACTTGCTCGGTGCAGAATTGTGCTCAGATCCCTGCTGCGCGTCCTGGTCAGAGGCCCTCCCAGATAACTGGGTGTTTCTGACTTCTGCATCTAAGGACGCGATCAGTTCATTACCTAGCTCTAATTTTTTCCCTTGCAATTTGTTTGTTTCTAGAGTAGCAGACAGAGAGAAGTAAAGGACTCCGAATAAACACGTCAAGAGCAGGTTTCTCCCAGGCTGCAGGGCAAAGCACAGGCAATGCAGCATGACAGCGTCCCACCCTGAATGATGGGTGGGGAAAACTCTTGATGCTACTTGCGAAATGCTTTCACTGCTGCCTGCTACGCACTCCAGTGCAGGGAGAAAAATTGCAAAACCAGCAAATGCATTGTTATTCCATTTTTGAAACATTTTTCTCCACCTCTCCTGGATGCTGCCGTCCCATCTGTCTTTTCATCTGCTTCTTTATGCAGAAGATGGTTTGGTTTGTTCTGGCTGGGGAAGGTAACATCCAGCTATTCCAAAGCATAAAGCCTCTTGGGAAACATCACAGGGAGACCAGGATCTGACCAAGCAGTGATGTGCAGCAACTATAAAGCCTTGATAAATCCTTTGATAAGCTTGCCTAACTCCCTCCTTCTTTTTTTTTTCTTAAAAAACAAAAACAAAAACAAAAAAAAAAAACTTGAACATGGCCTCAAGTAAATGACAAATTTTATCCTGAAATTCTTACAGGACAAAGCTACTGCTCACGCAGACACTGCTCATGCAGACAACACATTTAGGAGAGAAAATTCTGCAACTTTCTCCCAGATAAATTTGCTTAGGAATCCGCATACTGTCTCTTGTGCCATGGGATCACCAAAATGCATGCCTGACATTGGTATCACAGCAGACGTGGTTGCTGCAGAAACCAAGCTGGGTGCACCAGTGCAGCGCTGAGCCTGGTGGTGGCTGAGGGCAGCAGAGCCCTGGTGGCCCAGTAGCCACTGGTCCCCAGCTGTTCTGCATCAGGAGCTTCTCTTAACTGCTTCAACAGCAGCAGAGATGCGAAATGTTCCTCGGGTTGGGAGCTGAGCTGCTCCCAGAGATGTAACCCACAACTTAACATCGTCAGCACGGTGACAAACGTCCCTACAGGTCTTCCGAGCTCAACAGCACCTGGCTCAAACTAACCATGACCGGTGGCTGAATGCAGAGAGGTTTGCAGCCCACAGTTTGCTGCATCCCACCGTGGTCTCCGTGTGGATGGGGCAGGGGACTTCAGCCCTGCAGGCTGCCTGTGAGACAAGGGAATGGTGCAGCCATGGGCTGGGGTCCTGCTGTGCTGCCCCCAGGGGCAGGGAGGAGTGAATCCCTCTGGAGCAGTCCCACTGACTTCTCTGTTGCCTACACCGCTAGCAATTACTCATTACAAAGCTACTTACAGTGATGCTATGAACAAGGCACTCTGCAGTGGGAATAATCAGAAAATAATCTTTAATAATGGGTAAGGTCAAAGGTTTTACCCAGAACTGCTGACCGATCCAGAGAGAGCTGACAACAGCAATTTTAAGAAGGCCTTTGTATAATTTCTTTTGCTCTAATATTTGAACACCAGTATCTCATAAGGTTGGGAAGAAAACTCAGAAGCAAAAGCTTGAGATTTCCAGTAAGATACAAAACCAGACAAAAGGAGTAAGTCAGGGATAATAATTTTTAAGAGCTGCGGGTGGGACAGGGCAGATGACATGCCTCCTTGCTGTGTCATTTACAGCCACTGATAAAGGCAGTTTGAGCTGCAGGTGCTGTGAAGCAGTGACATGCACATGGACTGCCTATGACATTCTTTAAATTTCAGAAGCATTAAGAGTAAGCAATTTTCCTGGCCCTCTACCGGGTCACTGCCCTGAAATGTCTGAATTTGCTTGTGCATCTCAAAGGCCTTTGGGACTTCACGGAAACATCATAGCACCAGGAGAGAAGTCCAGCAACCTTTTCTTCAAAAAACAGATTTGCTTTATCTTCTTTTCCCTGTCTTACAATCCGGGAATTACAGAAAAGAAATATTTTTCAGAATGCCTAGAACCTGCATGGATTTCAAGTTCAAATAAAGGCAACCCAAGCTGGAGGCTGGTACTGGATGTGTGTAAACCCTTAACACACTTCTGGAAGAAGCACAACAGAGGAGGTTCCTCGGTGCGGCTGGGGAGCCTGATGTCTGTTAGGCTTGTTAGGCAGATTTAGGCTGGAGGTTATAAGTTCCAGCGTGCCAATGGCACTTGGGACTCATCGCCCCTGAGTGCAGCCGTCTGCCTGGCAGGTGGCTGCTCCGACCCGGCTCCCGGTGGCAGGAGCTCGGCATCCAGAGGGGCTGATTCATCCTGACCTGACAGATCTCCCCGATAGAGGAGATGAATCACCTCCTCGTACCTCTCTCTTTGTTGGCTATGGGAGGAGTCTAGACAACTTGTTAGGACAAAATGGCTGATTTTCAGATAGACGAAGTTTTGTAACACTCATTTCACTGTGAATCCTTCATGAATCCCAGTCCCATTTTCTAAAGTAGCCCAGGTCCTGAAGAGGTTTACCAAAAATTTCCGGAATGCAAGGCTGGTAAGACACTTTAGGCTCGGAGAAAGGCCTTCCCCACCATAAATGCAGGAGAGCCTTTCAGAGAAAAGCCATGAGCTGTACAAGTCTGTGGTGAACCAGAAGTGACTGAACTGCTCCGTGCAGTGTCCTCTGTGGTGTCCAGCAGAGGCATCTATTAGACCTTCATAATCCTCATACAAGCCAACACAGCAACATCAGTGCTGGACTGAAATCCCCGGCAGCCAGCTGGCATTTCTAACCAGTCTGCATTTGTCCTGCTGCTCTAATGGTTGGGAAGGAGACCAGGAATTAACAAAATTAAACAACAGCACTGACACCAGCAGCACTGACCGCAGTGCCATGCTGCCAGTGCTGAAGCATGAGCAACTGCAGAGCCACAGCTTCGTTCCTCTCTCCTTAACAAAAGACCAGCCAGAAACCACCAGATAGCAGGAACAGAACAGTTTTGCTTAGACAAAGCACAACACACTTCTTTCAGGAGCCACAACAGATAAACAGCAATAAATCATGGAAACAAATCAGCACAACCATGAAGCTCAGGGGTTCCAGCTCTGGCTCAGGATGCCCCTCAGCTACAAAATGCTGGGGGCCAGGAAAACACTCTGGGAAGCACCACTGCCTCCTTCCCATGCTTAGACCCTTCTGCAGGGGTCCATCCCCACCCTTGAGATGGAAACAGGATGCTCAGCTAGGCGGACCCCCCTGCTCTGACCCATCACTGCTACTTCGTTTGGCCTTACACCAGGCAGAAATATCACTGTCTGGCATTTAAACAGCTCAGCAAAAGACTTTGAAACAGACAGACAGTTGACAGTTGAGTTGACAGACAGTGTAAATAAAAATTTCAAAGACATGCCCTTGCTCCCAGCCCACCTACTGAACATGCAGCAAGCATCAAACCTAGCAAGTGACGTTATCGCTTGCCTTGAGGAAAGCATGCTACACCATGGCCATTAAAAGAGACGACAGATGAATCTTTCTGAAGCTGAGGAATGCAGGTGCTGTGAACAGGCAGAGGATCTGGCAGCTAACAGGAAAAGCTTCACTCCTCTGTCTCTGTGCTTGAAGCCAACATAAGCACCTTTCCTGGTTCAAACCTTTGAAGGTTGACAGGGAGCTGCCTTACAGTCCCGCAGCTGTTGAAAGGAGCCCTTTTTTTTTTTCCTGTATTCAAATCCCAGATCTGTGAACTGCGCTTTTTACTTTATAGCTGATGAAAACCAAGGAAGAACAGAATACAGGTCCTAGGTGGAGGGGGAACACAAGCACACGCAGTCCCGGTAGACTTTGGAGTGGTTTGGAGTGCTTCCCAGTGCACCAGGAGTCTGTCACCAAGGCCATTCTGCAGCATGTGTTTGCTCAGATTGCACAAAGACAAGTACAATCGTACAAGTGCTTTTTCTGGCAATCTGTAATATAATATTTTCAGAATGGGAGAAGTGAAGCACCTTTTTTCTAAGTTCAGAGAGTATCTAAAAAGAGACTGAAGTAGCATTTAGGTGGGAACAGCAAATGATGCAAATTCCCTGATGATCCCCAGCCAACTGCTTTGATTTTGTTCACATAATATTTGGTGCATGGAAATAAAATGGCAATCGTTCCACGTGAGCAATGGATGTGCTCCAAGCTTTAACTGAGGTGGACCAATCTGAAGCTATGACCTTCAGACAGCTTGTGTTGTTGGGATACTAATCCACAAGACCAAATTAAATCTTGTTCACAGTGAAATCGCCAGCCACATATAACATCAACATAAGGTCCTTGTTGCCCCTTGATTCCATCTCCTGATCCTCTCCCACAGCATTGAGTTACTTGCTAAAATAGCCATGCACAATCTCTCTCCAGCAAGTTTCTGAAGTGCTGTGACCTTGCCACTTGACTTCTCCTGATAGAGGTTGCTTTCTGTGCAGGTTACCCCAAGAGCATGCCACATCTCCCAGATAAAAGAGTAGCTTACCGGATACCCCCAGTTGCTGTTTCCTGTTTGGGTTTTGGCGTAATAGCTGCCTCGGGATGTCCCATAGCCATAACCATCAGCTATACAGTCATACATGGAACCTGTAAATGGAAAAAGCACTGTCAGTAGGAGAAAGTGGTCCCAGAGCACTTTTTTTTTTTTTTTTTTTTTTTTTTTCCAGTGAATTTACATCCTTTCAAATTGCCAGCAAAGAATAACAGAGTTAGAAAACTTAACAGGGATGTAGGAAAGAAAGTCAGTAAGTCATGCTCTTGCCATTGCAGGCAACTCAAAGAAGATATTTATCCAGAAGAGCCCCTAGAAACTCCAGCCCACAGACCGTGAGCAACACCCGAAGGTCTTCAGTACAAAAGACCATAATAAAAAAATAAAAATAGTGCCATAAAATCCACAAGTGGACAAGAGCAGACTGGGCCAAAGACTTGGCTGATATCTTGCGTCTTTGTTATATGTGAGGAATGGGGTGAGATTTTGTGCCACTCAAGAAGCTCTGGAGCTTCTGGAAGCTCTGAACCTGAAACTCATCTCCTTTACTCTGACTTGGAGGTAACTAAAATTCACCTCTTCTCTGAAGGTAAAGCCCACCCCAACCCTTTTGCCGGTCTGTCTGGGGTGAAATGCTTTCCTGGTCTGAAGACTAATAATGAGATCCACACGAACAGTGTGAGCAAGGCTTGCTAAATTCAGTAAGTTGTAAATAACAAATGTGATTGGTAAATGATGATCACACACCTGAGGATCTAAAATAGTCAAGCACTAAAAAAACAAAATAGCATTGCCTTTAATTTCCATCACCAGTCTCTGAAAGATCACTCTGTTTATACTTTGTTTTCCTGAAAATGTATGAAGTTCCATCATTATGAACACAGGGCTGCTTTCATCACTATGACAAAATAAAATAAAAAAAAAAATACAAACAAACAAACAAAAAAGAACAACTCATTCTCTTTCCAAGCTGCAGTTCCCTGAACACCCTTCAGATGGTCCAAAAGAGTTTAAGGTCATTTAAATTTCATTTTCAAAAGTGCTCAATAATTGTGGCATCCCAAGTCCCGTTACGAGGAAGTGCAAACCCTACACCCCAATTAACTTCCAGGGAAAGCTCTGAATGTCTAACAAACTACAAAATCAGGACTTACCTGTCTCAAGTTATGCACCTAAACTGGTGGGTAATGTCAGAAATATCCTAATCTCTGATGGTTTGATAAGACTCATCTCTTAGATAAACTGGATAAACTCTACCACAAAGGCCCCGAAGCCACTCAGGTCTTCTACAGCCACCGATCCTTGGAATATGTCTCATTTATTGCCTTGCCTGAGGCATCCAGAACCTGTTATGTTGATTTGGTACGTGGCTAAAAATTCTTGCATTTTCTCAGGAAGATCGTCCCCATAGATGCAGTATAAGTAATGAGATTTTCTTTCTATTGTCAACGAGAGAGGAGCAGCACTGCACGGATGGCAGCATCTGCAGAACACCACTGAATGCAGAATAAGCAACAGCAGGGAGGGTTCACAAACATATGCTTGTGCAGAAAACTACAGGATCTCGTTTTCCATAAAATGTATAGGCTCGGTGAGCATTGTTCCAAGATGCCTATTAATATTTCTCCAGCACTGATTGCTTCATATACATTAAGCTTCACAGGACTTGTGTTTAAGGGTGAAGGCAATAGCCATCAACCCGAGAAGGGAGGTACAATTCAGGGGCAGAATTCACCTACTGCTTACCTACCCCATAGTTTGCCATGAACCTCCAGATGTTACTACTGGGCTGCAGCAGAAGCAAGGCAGGGCTTGAGATGATAAGTTTGTGCCAGGTGATACGCATTCTGAGTGCAATCCCATAACAGTTTCCTGGGAACTACTTCTCACAATCATTCTCTAGTTCTGTGCAAACAGAATGTGTCTGCAGGCGGGAATTTCCTGACGCTGTTTGTGAGTCAACAGCACCCTTAAATGGAAGAAAGTGTTTTTGGGTGTGACTCACGGGTTAACCTGACCAGTCCCCCCGGGACCATGCTTTTCTTCTCAGCATCTATTCCTGTCAAGCACAGCACTAAAGACTTGGGGGTTGAGCAAGGAAATGCCAAAAATGAACCAGTTCAGGCACACGTAATTTTCCTTGTAAAGTCACCATTCAGTGGACAAATTCAAGAGGCCGGGAGTTTCACGCAGGTCTATGTTCTTTGGTTGTTGAAGAGTAGACTTCACTTCCAAGAACTTGCACACAAGAGGTTGTAAATATATAATTATACAAAGCCTCAAACGTTCAAGGCATTTTGAAGCTGCCTTGCTGGTTGGAGAAGGTGCTCCTGCCACCCCAGCACCGTGCTCTGCTGCTTGGAGAGCTCAGTATGAAGGCCAGGAGGAACCTGGGGATTTTATGATGGAGGCGGCTGAAGAAAACATCAGCTTTGTTTTGTCCTGTAAGTTTACACAGTTCTCTGCCTGACTCATCCTGAGAGGCAGCTTGGCTGTGTATAACCACCCCTAGGGGAGAGGAGGATATTCTGCTGTTCAGCCACCGCACGGGTAAAGACCATACAGGATGGCCACAGCTCCGTCTGAGACCCTGGGGTAAAACAGACTGTCTCCATAAATTAAACTAAAGTAAACTATACTAAAACAAACAAAACAAAACAAAACAAAACATAAAAAAATCACTTTGGCAGGGGCTAGACTTGCTCACTGGGGCAATGATGAAGTTCCTGACGCTGTTTCCTAGCTATGCCTGAGTCCCATTTGTTGGCGTCCAAGCTGCTGCTTAGCTCTCTGAAGCACCCACTTGCACTTGCACAGGCACAGAGCCGATTAAAACTGCATCAGTGGTAAATACCAGGTGGGATAGAGGCAGAAAAATCATGGAAGAGACTCGCTCACGGAAGCACAGCCTCCCAGCTGTCTGAGGGCTGCTCAGGCTCTGGCTGGGCTGTCAAAGGGACCCCTCTCCCACCCCCGAATTGCCATTGCCCCACAGCATTTCCTTCAAAACTTGGTCAATCTAAATCCCATTAACTTCGTTGGGAAAGCTCACGACTGTAAAAGCTAAGTACAACAGATAAGGATTGCAAAAGCTTTTGCTTAATCGCTGCGAGCACCACTACATGCCAGCCTTCCCCTCCTCCTCCTCCTCCTCTCTCTGTTATCAATCCTCTGTTATCAATCATTGCAGAGCAAAGTAAGAGCTGATATAACACAATATGCCTGAGCTTTATGTCCCTCTTCATCAGTGATTTACATTCTTCAAAGACAACTTTACAGCCCTTAAAGCTAGGAGGCTGATGGCAGGAAGAGTTATGTCACAAGTGCCATTTTTCAAGCACGACAGTAGAAGACTCCAGCCGGACACAGAAAGCTAACAGGGAGTTTTGTGGCAATGGAGGCATATTAATAAATATTAATCTGTGGCAGGGAAAGGCAAGACAAGAACCCGTCACCGGTAGCGCAGGCTAGACAAGTCAAATAATAAACCATGCACAGCCTTAAAACAATGCGGATGATTAAACATAGGAAAAAAGTAGTAAGAGGAGAGGACCTGTGGGAAGCCCAAAGCAGGATGCCTGCTAGGAGAGAAGTGTTGGTGGAATCCCAGCAGCCTGAGAGCTGTGCAGGGATGACCAGGCTGCATTTCTGCCTCCTGGCCTCTGAGCAGAGGGGCCGTTCCTTCCTATACTCGATAACCTGAAAGGTTTGTGGAGGAGCTTTCAGTGACCCATCTCCTGCTAGGGGAACGTTACAGAAGTCAAAACATCGACTGTCTGCAATGCCCTCCGTGCACATCAGAGTAATTCCCCCATTAGGTGTTGGTGGGGCTTCCCTCGACCACAGCCAGCCTCTGCCTCGCGGCTCAGCCACGACACCAGTGGATACGACACTCAGTCTGGGTTTCCTCAGATCCCTGCCAGCCCATGACGAGGCACTGGCAAAGCTTTTCTTTAGCCAGAGGACCTGGGAGATCAGTGCTGATGGCCAGGAGGAACTGGTTCAGCTCGGCCTTTCCTCCTGCCACCGCTCCACGTCTTGTGCATGACACCAGGATCTTCAGGCAGCGGCCTCACTGCCTTGACCTGCTGCACTCCAGTTAACCAACTGATTTTTGGTAGGTGTCAAGGACATTGAGGGAACATCTACTCCCTTTAAAAAGACACAGTTATGGTTCACTAGTCCCATCCCTGCTGCGTGCAGGTGGGCTACATGCTCATGTCCCCAGCCTACATACACGGGTGCAGGCACTTGGGATGCTGGGGAAGCTCTGCTCTGCCCTTCAGCTCCTGCTCAAGCCAGGTATCAACACGCAGGGACTGACAGCTGGACCTGGGTCAATACAGAAGGAACAGCACTAGAACATTTATCAAGGGGCTTTAAAACTTCCCCAGCTTGAGGAGCATCTCAGAGAAACAGATGTCCACCCAGCGGCCCCTCAGCCTGTTTGCAGGAGACATTCACGCATCTCACTTGGTCTGCTCAGCTGCCCTCCTGACCAACAGCAGGAAAAATCAATATGATGCAAAAAAACTGCCCCTTGGAATTTCAGCCTGACCCTCTCAGGCTCCCACCCAGGAGAAAAAATGAGGAATAAACAGGAACTCCTTGCCCTTCTGGGAGTCCCTCCAGCAATGCATGGAAGGAGCAGTTCCCAGGGCAAACCACCCGTGCCCATCAAAAAGGGGCACCAGGACCTCGGTGCTGCCCAGCCTCCCCACAGTGGGAACGGGGCAGCCTCAGCCCCGTGTTGGGAGGCAGCTGCTGGGAGCTGGATGTGACTCAGCTTCCCTGGGACGCAGAAACCAGAGCTGCACATTTCCACGCAATTCCCATTCCCAGACATTCCCAAAAGTGTCTGGAGGAGGGGTTTAGCTTGAGCTTGTCGAGCGGAGACGGGCAGCTTGGGAATTTGCTTTCTTTATTTCTTTCCCAGAGGTTTCACCTGGGCTCCTCTCCAAGCAGAATAATCCCCCTCTGCCTCCCTTCCTTCCTCCCCATGGGCAGCAGTAGGAGATGTCCCCCTGCCCGCTTCCCCTCGTATAATCCCCCTGCTGCTAAGGGAGGCTGGTGGTGCCCCAGTCCCCATCCAGAGCCTCTCGCCTCATCCTGGGCTGTATTTTGTTTGGTCAGGTCTGGCACCATAACACCGTAAGCAATAAACCCTCCTGAGGGAGGCGGGGATTTGCATCTCCCATCGCTGCCATTTTGGTGGCAGCAGAAAGCTCTCCTCTCCCTGTCCCCCACCCACCCGCAGGAGTCCATGCCCACAAATGTGCAAAAAAAAGAGAGAGAAAGCAGAGGTTTTGGATCACACACATCTTTCCCATGAAGCTTCTCTATTCCCTCTATCGCAGCAATGACGATGCCCGCATCCAGGAGGGCTCCTGCGGGAGTGCCACCTCCCCTCCTTCCCAGCGCCTCTTGGCACACCAGCCCCAAACATGTCTGGACCGTGCCACCCCACTGGCACTGGAGTCTGCCTCCAGATCCAGCTCGGAAAAGCTGCCACCAAGTTGTAGTCCCCGAAAGAGCCATCAGAGACCAGCCCAGCTCACCCAGCTTCCCTGCAAACACCTCCGCGCACACTGCGCTCCCCAGGCACGCTGAAGGATTCGGTCCCAGCCCCAGCAGCCCCCATCCCCCAGAGCCTCAGGCTTTGCTCTTCCCATTAAGCCCGGCCGGAGCAGCGAGCTCGCCACAGCTGCTGGTGAAAGCACCACCGAGAGCCAGGAGGTTTTGTGTTGTGGCTGCTGCGCCCATCTGGTTTTGCAGCTCCTGTCTGGGGACAGCTGGGTTGCCCTCCAAGTCAGCTTTCGCCAGACGCAAGGACAGAGAAGAAAACAATTTGCCAAGCCTCAAACCAAAGAGGAAGGTGTTCCTGTAGGAAACCTAGATCCGGGACTCAGCTGAGGGCTTGCACAAACTCTGTGCGTGGAGGTGGAGCAGCTGGATGCCTGCACCCCGCTCTACCCCACTGCAGAACGGAGGGGACTGCGAAGCATCCCCGCTGTGCCACTGCGGTAAGGCAGGGACACTTCTCATCCTCTCACCCCCTTCCTGCCACTCACACCGGGACGTCCCCAAGGCTCAGCCTGCAAATGGGGGACACGTTGGGAGCTCTGGAGGCAAAGCCTGAGCTGCCAGAGCTCACGTCCATGCCCTGTGCGTAGCAGAGCTGCCTGCTCCCTGCCTGCCGCAGTGCTGCCAGCCCCACGGCGCGGTGGAGCCGCGATGCTGGTGGCTTTGGCTGCCTGCAGGAGGGGATGAGATTGGAGGAGAAGCCCTCCTAGGGGACACTTGTGGAGGAGAGGTTCACAAAGATTTTAGGCAGCTTTGAGGCCAGGGAGCAAACGGCTAGCAGCACGGCGCAGACACGTCCCAGAGCCCCGGGGATGGACTCGCTGCACCGGCGCCGTGCCCACACAAGAGACCCCGGCATCCCCTGTCCTGGGTACCCTGTTATAGATGCAAACCACTCTGACCCCACAAAAGCTCACAGCACCTGCACCGGTCCCAAAGGGGACCCCTTGGTGTCCACCACACGGTGGGGCGTTACCTCGGTTGGAGTGTCCCACGCTCGACGACACCGACGACTTCTGCTTCTGCCGCTTCACCGTCATCATCACTTGCTCTTGGACCCGCTGTTTCCCCGTGCCCTTGGTCTTCAGCTTGTGATCCGAGGGCAGGGCCAGCGTGGAGCTGGCCTGGTCTTGGAAGCACTCATATGCCAACGCTGTCTTCAGTGGAGAGTGAATCATGGCTGCACACCGCGGGGCTGGGGGGAGAGGGGGCTGCACTGCACCTGACCGCGCGCGACACGAGGCGACAGCGAACGCGTCTCGTTCTGGCGTTAATCTCCCGAGCCCCTCCTTGCCATACGTCCCCCGGCCGAGGGTGTCTCAGGGCTCCTGCTCCCGGCTCGGCTCCCTGCCGTGTGAGCAGGCACACCCTCTGCCAGACTGGATATACAGCCCTGCCTGCACACACCCACGCGCTCCCCGCCGCCGCTCGCTCGCGGCCCCCGCGCCGCCGCTGCAGGGCACGCGGCTCTGCTGCCCTGGTCCCAGCTCTGCCCCAAACTGGGGGGGGGAGTCCCAGCAGGGAGAGGGGAAGGGTGGGAAGGGGGTTGGGGGTGGGCATTGGGCACTGCTGCGCCCCCTCGCAACGGGGCCATGGATATGGGGCTGTGCGTCTCGCTAGGAAACGGTGCTCATAGGCTGGAGGAGCTCCCGTGCAGCCCGCTCAACTTGTTTTGTGTTATTTCTCTTGGTTTAAGATGGATCGAAATGGTGTCCCAGTGCCAAGAGCCTGGGGACAGCCCTGTTAGCAAGAGGCAGCGTTGCACACACCATGGGTCAGTGGCACAACGCTGCCCACCATGCCCGGTCCCTAGGGGTCCAGCCACCACCCTGGCCCCGTGGAGATGCTCCCATCTCCCTCTGTCCAACTCTCCCTGTGCAAAAACTTCCTCTGCCTGCACAGGTCGTGGACCCTTTGGCAGCAGCAGTATAAAATCCGAGTATAAATCAGGACAGGCACCCGGCAAAGCTTTGGGGCAATCTCTGCAAGTGGCTTGGGGCAGCGGGGGCAGAAGCGAGGACTTTTAGCAAGAAGACTGCAAGAGAACCTGGCTATGTGAGAAATCACACGCTGGGTTGTGACTCTGAAGGAGAGGTTTCTCTCTGCCAAGCCAGGCTGCAGAGGGTCCTTTGCAGAGAACCAGACCCCCTGGTGCTGGGAGACTCAGTTTCACAGCAAGTGCTGGCAAAGCTCCTGCCGAGCCACTAGAGGCTGATAGAGGAGGAGAGGCACAAACCCCTTCAGGAGGGAGGCCAAGGGGAGGGCGCCCTGGACAGAGGATCCCTGGGATCCCTTGTCACCAGGTCCTGGGCATGGGACAAGGACACACGGCTGGAGGACCACGTTCCTCTGCACTGCTGGACAAAACTCCCAAAAACTCCCCGCAGCAGAGAGGACTTGGGAGGGTTCCTCCATCCCTCAAGGGACCAGTGCCTGGGGTCTAGCTGAGCTTAGACCCGGTGCTGGCAGCTCACAGATGCTGGGTCCCTCCTCGAAAGCAGCAGGAGGACACCGAACGCACTTTATTTCATTCCCATTCATCAGGTTTTGTGTTTCCCTGGCGTTTGTGAACACGCAGGTGGCCGCAGCAATGCCGCACGTTGGTTTTCATGGGAACAAGAGCAATATCAGAAAGCACGGGGCGTGTTCCTGGGTAGGGTGAGCTTTGTACACCTGCTGCTGCTCCAGGGTGCTTCTCCAGTGAACCCCAGCAGCAGAAACCCAAACTCTGTTAATGAGACTCAGACCTAGAGCAACTAGAGCCTAATTACCCTCGGCTTCCCCTCCCCAAGGTTCCCAATGTCTCACCCAAGCGATGCAGCAGCTTCGCTCTGCTCCATCACCCAAACAACTCAGACATTTAGGGCATGCCCAGGGGAGGCCAGCCTGGGTGAGCGCTGCCCAAGACCTCTGCCAATGTCCAGGAACACGGAGGAGGATTTTCTGCTTCTCCTGTGCTTGTTTTCAGAGTGGAGACACGTCTGTGCGCTTCCAGTCTGGATAGGGAACAGCGAAGCAATACCTGGGTGTTGCTTTTCTGTGTCCTACTTGTTTCTCCTGAACGCTTGTTATCGATGCCAAACGATGTTTTCGCAAATCAATGACAGGCTGTCAGCGTCAGATGGCTTCTGCACAACAAAGTGCCCAGCTCTTGCAAACCTGTAATGTCATTTCCCCCGCGGCAAGGAACAGCCCTCACCCTGTCCCTGCACGGGAGAGCCAAGTGTTTATCACATCCAGTCATTTGCTGGCGGATAATACAAATGCTGTGCTCCAGCATCTGCCCTGTTTCATAACTCGCCCAAAATGCTGAGCTGGGCTGGGGAGCTGGGGACAGGGAGCTTACAGAGGCTTTCAAGAAACAATGGTTTCTTCGGGGCGAGTTTGCACAGTCTAGCCCAAGGGAGGGAATCTCCCAGGTTTCTGCAACTGACTCCAATCCCATCTCTAAAAGAGAAAAAGGTACTTAAATAAAGGAGTTTATTGCACCTCTATGCAAACTGCTGCTTCTGCTCTGAATCACGGGCTGGGGATGCTTACTTAGCAGGGCACGGTGAGTGTCATCCCCAGCAAGCCCAGTGCAGCAGAGCTTGCATCTGCAAGCGCCTGGAGCAAATTCCCTGTCTGCCTTTCTGTCTGGAGCTCGCAGGCACCGGGGCAGCAACAGGAGAAGGCTGAAAGGGAAACAAAACCTGTGCCAAATCTGGAGCAGGATAGGCGAAAGACTGGAGAGATTAACAAAACGAAAAAAAAAAAAAAAGCAGCTGGTGATCGGAGGGAGACGGGGGCCTTCGCTGCGGTCCAGCGGCTGCATGTGCGCGCACCAAGCATCGCATGGCGATGCCAGTGAATCACTGCTCCGCACCCCACACGCTCACAGGGACACACCTTGTGCATCTGGCCTCTTCAAAGCATTTTTGTGCGAGTTCCTGGGATTCCTGCCAACTCGCTGATTGCAATCAAAGGGCTCGCTGGCCCAATGCTGCTCCCAAAGTGGTGCAGGGTTTTCTGTTCAAACTTGTCAGGCACTCCTGAACTGAAGGTGTCTACAGATCACCACAAAATCTAAATCTAGCTTGAAAAAAAATAAAATAGCTGGCCCCCAAATTGCCGACGGACAGCCCTGCTGTGACTTTTTATCTCCTGGGGTTGCTTCTTCGTTGGGGTGGGTGGTCACCAAGAGGGACAGAGGTAGTGGTGCTGGGAATTTCTTGCATTTCCCAGGATAATGCCATTTTCTGAGGGGTGACTCAGCCTCACCCAGCACAGCTGAGACTTCCCAGAGCCTGGCAAGGTTTCTCCAGGAGAAAACCTGCTCTTCAAATGCACAAAGCCTTAGTTTCGCTCAGCCTCTCATGAAAGGCTCTCCTTCTGCGGGACCACAAAGCGCCACGGGGCTGGTGGAGAGCTCAGCTCCATCAGGGGGAACCGGGATCCAGCTGAAAGCGTGCGTGGAGCAGCCCAGCTGAGGAGAGCCGTGCAGAATCCTGCTGAGACATGCGGACACCGTGTTTCTGAGAAAAACCTTCCCTGGGCTCCTTGCACACACGGCACTGAGTCGTTTTGGGGTGGTGCAGACACAGCCGGGCCCTCGGCAGAGCTGGTAACCTCCCCGAGCCCCGCAGGTCTCCCACTGTGGATAGGGGCTTACATGATAAAAGGAAGGAGAACCCCGCTTTCCCCACAAAAAGGAAGGACAGCTCACACGGAGCAGCTGCAAGGCTGCATGCACCAGGCTGAAAGCCTTGCGTAACGGAGATAAAGCACCTGGGAACGAAATCCCCGCATCGCTGGGGTGTGTTGTAACAGGCACCTGGAATAATTCTGGCTGGGGGACCGACCCTCTGCACAAAGCAGGGCCAGCCTGGCTGTGGTTGCTCCAGCCCTTGTCCAGCTGAGGTCTAATGGAAATCCAGCAGCTTCTCCAGCCTCTGTTCCAATATTTGGTGACTCTCACGGTGAATTTGTTTTCCAAGTATCTAAGAGGAATGTCCCATCTCCCAGCTCACTGCTGGTGCCTCTTCCTCTCCTTATGCACCTCAGAAGGCTCCATCTCCTCTGCACCCTCCCACCAGGTAGCTGCAGAGAGCTGTAAGACCCCTCTCAGCTTTCCCTTCCCTGCCCAAACCTTGCAGCCCTTCCTCCTGGGTCCTGTGCTCCACTCCTGACCACCTCGGGGCTGGAGAGCAGACCCAGACCTGGGTCAAGCCCTTGCTGTCAGTTGGACTTCCAGGGGCTCAGGCTCCTGCTTTTCTGCTTTTTCTTCCCCTGTTCCTGGTAGATGGCACAGGCAAAGCTACACAAGCATAGCAGGATATCTGTGAGCTGGAGAGCGCTTCACTGCTCTGTGCAGGAGCCTGCAGGTGCCCACACTCAGCACCATGAGGCTGAGGATGGAGGTCGTCCCTTCTGCCCTGCCCTACACCTGGGCAGCCCCTGCCAAACAGCCCCCTGCCAGGTGCCAGCAATATCTGAGCAGCAAAAACTTGGAGCTGCTTACAGCTCAGGGGGCTCTGCAGGCTTGCCAGGGGCTAAAAAGGGACGTGCCCTGTTCAGCGCTGGGAGCAGGCACCAAGGAGGCGCCTTGGGAGGGCAGGGTGGGGACGGAGAAGGAAGCAGATCTGCGCTCCCCTCCATCAGGTTGGCCAGCCCGCCCAGTTGTCACCTCCTCATGTCCCCATCTCACCTGAGGAGCCTCTACCAAACCGGTCGAGGGGCTGCTGGTGTCCTGCCACCTCCACCCGCTGCTCTCTGTGAAGGGGATGCCCTGCCAGGTGATGCTGTTGAGATAACGAGAGGTTGCTCTCCACAGCTGTGCCGTGCTGCTGCCCCACCACCTCCAGCCACACAGGTTCAGGGCAGGGGTCTCCCAGCTGCCTGTGAGGACATCCAGCCCCCAGCAAGGATGGGCTGGGCTCCTGCTGCCGGCTGATGGTGACCAAGGGACAGCGAACCCTGCTTGCCCATGGCCAGGAGGCCTGGTGGCACTCTGTGCTAGCCTCTCCCTAGCTTCAGCTCTCTGCTCTGTTTCTGAGGGTCCTGAGACCTGCTCCAGAGGCGATGCTGCCAGGCAGGTATGAGCACACTGTGCAAAAAATTGACAGCTGGAGCCTGTGCCCACCGTAAGATGGTTCAGGGAGGTGACTACAGCCACAGAGGTGTGAGCGGAGAAGGTAGACACACATCTCATCCAAAAAGGTACCCGGACTCCTCGCCTCCCTGTGCTCATACCAGCCTGACCCAGCTCAGAAACGCTGCGGGGAAGGGAGCGCGTGTTCCCACCGTGGAAGGAACAGAGATGACAGGGCCAAAATTAGAAAGGGAGCAAGCACGTAGATGGTGCGAGGATGCCCTTGATTCCACGGCGTTGTGAAATCCCCTCGCATTTCTGCTGGGGGAGGACACCTCGCAGACCAGCTTATGTAATGATGTAGCAACCTTTCCCAGCGTCACCCGACTCGTTAAAGCAACCTGCGGCAGGGGGAGGGCAGGGGAGGCGATCGCACGCCCGTCCCCTGGGAGCAGATGGGGAACACGGGGTGCAGGTGGGTGCGGAGGAGGGCGGCGAGCGCTTGGGGTTATGCGCATCGAGCAGTGCCATGGGCTGGTGGGGCCTCTTCCCAGCCCTCCATGGCAATGTCTCGGTGCAGGGCTTTGGGTCTGGTTTCTCTCCACATCCTGCATCAGGGAGTCCCATCAGTTTCATCCTGGCTTAAGCACAAAGGTGATGCTCGAGGTTGGGTGCTACAGGCACGGTCGTCCTCTCTCAGGGTGGAACGGGGCAGCCCAAGCTTTGGGATCACCCATTATCAGGGATCTCAGTGTTGGTTCTTCAGGCCCAGGCTCTTCCTACCTGAACTCCAGGAGGGTTTGTTTGCAGCTGTCAATGTACACAAGTCCTGTCTGGATGAAAACATCAGGTCCTGCAGCATTAATCCCAATGGTACTGCCCACCAGGACACAAAGTGGGTGACAATGAACTTTGTTGGTCTCATCAAAGCTGTGCTCATCCCCGCCTTTGGAAAAGCAGCTGCTGATGAGGACTTTGCTTCCCCATCCTCCTCTCTGCATTTGGGAAGGCTCCAATGCCTGCACAACCCCTAATTGCCACACGCTGGGTGATGCACAGGAGTGCGCTGCTGGAGATGCTCCTCCACCTACATGCGGGGCTGTGGCAGTGTCCCTGCAGTCCCTGGGGTCATCAGAGCCTGGGTGGGATCAGGACATCCCCAAGGAGTGGAGCTTTGCTCCCAGACACTGCCTTGTGCTTCCCATACTCAGCAGTAGCTCTTTGCAATTAAGGTGTCCACAGCTAACGATGGGCACTCCCACAGTTTTGAGACTGCAATCGCATTTTGGCAGAACACGGTTCACCACCTGGCGCGGACCCAGGCTGATGGGAACTCAAAAGAAATGCAAAAAGATGGATATGAGATGGATGCGCTCAGCCTAGCGTTAAAGGCTTTGCGGCTTTACATGTAGGCTGTGGTTTTATCTTTATCACGCTGTCCGTTTCTGCAGACCGCGTGACACGAGCGCACCAGGTCCTAGCCTGGGGTGCTGCAGGAGCTCCCAGCTTCCTGCTGGATGCGGCACCCCCGTGCCCCACGGAAAGTCTTTGCTAAGGCCAAAGTGACCGAGCAGAAAGCTTTGGTCCCATCCCCATCTCTCCACATGAAAGAGGACTCTTGAGCCCACAGGCAGCACAGATAAAATGCTCAGGCTTTCTCAATAAACCGGGAAAGGAAAGCGTTGCTTGTACGGGCACTGTGCAGCCAGCAGAACTTGGTTAGCACAAGCCTGGGTTCATGGGCACGTGTGAGCTGAACCTCTTCCTCTCCTGGGGCAGGAGAAGGCCAAGAAGTGAAAGATCTGGCAGAAGCTGCAGCCAGAACAGCAAGGGCAGCTGCCACAATGGTTCACGACCTCCTTCCCAGCTCACCAGATCCACTGAAGCCTTGCCCTTCCCAAATCTTTGGCAACTGCTCTCCTGGTAGGACCTGGGAGCTGGGTATCCCGCTGCGCCAACACCCTGCCCAGGAAAGGGGATGATGATCATAATCCCAGTCCTGAGGGATGAACCAGACAACCCAGAAGCTCAGTCCTTTTCCTAAATAAACGATGAAGCTTTGTTTAATAAAAATTGCTATGAATAGAAGCACCGATTAATAGATTCATGTGAGTTGTGCTATTAATGTTATTTCTTAAGGGTACCATTTTTTTTTACAGCAAAACCTCTAACACTAGTGGTTAGTGGCGAATTTATCTCGAGACAATACATGAGGCTAATCTGTGTGTCAGGGATGGGTTATGTTTCACTTGTGTCTGCTTTCCAGGAAGAATCTGTGGTGAGCTGGGTTTCAATGTGGACAGGTTTTTACATGTCCACCTGCGGACTAAATGGGGAAAAATGGTTTCCAAAGCCAATTTATAGCCGGGCAGGCAAATAGTCTTTGGGTAGCAGTGATAGAGACAGGGCAAGGAGATATCCGAGGTGATGTTCACCCACTAAAGTCATACCTGTGTGCTTGATGCTGATCCTTCCATGACCTCTTAGTCCCTTTTGCCTCTCTCCTCGTGCAAAATCACCTCCTTATTGGAAATGGGCTGAAGCACTGGGCTAAATTTCTGTGGTCCTGTCTGTATGTGCAGCCACTCTGGTAGAACCAGGGATGAGTGGGGCTGCCTGACCCAGCTCCGACACCCGGCTCGGGGCAGAGGAGGAGCGCACTCCACACAGCCTTGGTTTAAGGACATGATTTATGCAGCCTCCCAGCAAGTTGGCTGAGCTCCTGCTCCGCATTGAGCAGCCCCGGGCACCACGGAGGGACTTTGCGACACCAGCTGGCAAATCCAAAGTGCAGAGATGAGGGCAGAAGCTGCAGCATCCCCAGTGCTCAGCCCTCAGCTGGGTCTGAAGTCTTGGCCATGACTCAAAACCAACGAGGGCAACGGGAGCGCATCCCATGCCCCCTGCCCCAGCTGCTGGAGAACGGTGCACACCTCTCCTGGTTTTATTGTGGAAATAACTAACCAAGTCATCGGTGCAGGAGCGTCCTGTGCACCACAGGCTCTGGTGCAGGGAAAGCAGGCTGTGGTTTTTGTGACCATTCCTACCATTTTCTAGGTTGCCCAAGCAAGACACGTCATTGCCAAGGGCCAGCCCACATTTTCAAGGGGGTGCAATAAACTACCGCATGCATGTACGTGTCACTGCCCTCCCTTGGGGAAAATCACAGAAAGTTTTGGGTTGGCTGAGATGTTAATAGGTCCTGAGTCCAATGTCATGTTCAAAGCAGGGCTCACTCCAAAGGCAGCTCAAGCTTCCCCAGTCCTTGCCCAGTTGAGGTTTACTTACCTTCCTTCTGCAGATCAAAGTGCCCCGTCTTCCTCTTTTAATTAAAAAATCTGTCATTTCAGACAAATGTATGATCTAGAAAACCAGAAAAGATGTTTCAGTAGATATTAACCTGGCAGCTGTCCTGAATAAGTTTTAACCTCCGATTTAAGTCAATTGGATAAAATAAAATCAGAAGCTTCTGTGCAGAAATGGGTTTTAACACAATTTTTTCCAGACACCTCTACTCAAGACCTCATCTCCTGGGAATTCCCAGCACTTCATGAACAGGCACAGAGAGGGCACCTTGCAGGGCTGGGTCACGCTGCCCTGCATTGGTGCAGGGGAAGGACCAGGGGACTTTCTGAGCTTCTTTCCTGCCCTACAACATCACAACCCGGCCCTTCCCCTCCACTGCAGAGGGCCAGCAGCCAGGAGAGCGGCACATCATGGCAGTGACAATAGCAGGGACAAGCACTGACAGGGATGCTCCGGGCATCCACGATACAACCAGTGTGAAAAGAGGCAAACGAAGCTCGTGGGGTGCGTGGTCCTTGCACACCGCATGGACAGGGCTGGCTCAGCCCTGAGGTTTTTGCAGCGGTTGGATGGTGCTGTGCAGCACAGCCCCGTGGGGTGTGACAGCGCCGAGGTCCTGCTGCACGGAGATTTCAGGATCACCAGCACAAAGCTTGCTCACGTTTGATTGTTTTAGAGGTGGTGATGCCAGTGCGCCGGGAGGGCGGAGGGGAGCTGCAGCAGCCCTGTTGAGGCATGTGCACAGGCGCCCTCCTGCAGCCCCGCCACCCTTTGGACCAAGGCTCCTTAAGGTGTGATTTGCCTTGCCAGACGAGTTTTCAAAAGCAAGCTATCAGCTCCCTGCTCCCAAACACGTGTCCCTCTAATAGAGACAGTTTATCCTCTGCTGGAATTGAGCAACTCAACCCTCCTCTTGCATTAGCGAGCCTTTCAAGCATCATTTGATAAGCAGTATGAGCGCAGCTCCTCAGGCATTGCTTCATCTTTTGGCGTGCTTTGCCCTGCCAAAACTGTGTTTCAAGCTACCTATAAATTATGCTTCACGGTCGGCTTTCATCTGCTCGCCATGCAACGGGCGAGAACAAAGGCCACTACGTGCCACACCAAGGCAGAAGAGCCAAGAGCCGGGTGTAGGCACAGGGAGGGCAGGCGGCAGGAGGAAGCAAAACAACCCCAGCCCGCTGCCAGCCTTACATCAGAGCTGTGGGCAGCCGGGGTGGCTGCTGCTGCCAGCGAAGGAGCCGTGGTGTGGAGGGTGAGGAAGGGAAAGAGGGCAGTGAAATCTTGTTTTGCCTGCACGGCTGTGAAGGGCTCAGCAAAAGCAGCAGCAATGGGGGAGGCAGCCGCCGTCCTGGCAAAGGGGCTGCAGGCACCGAAAACAAAGATCTGCACGAGCCAACAGCTCTCAAAACCCCAGCTACTGGGGCCACCCTGGAGGAAGCAGCGTTGCTCAGACCAGGGGTTTGGGCTGGGGCAGAGAGCAGCTTTGCTTGCACGGGAGTGAGCAAATGAGAGGAAATGTCATTTGCAGGGTAACAGGACTCCAGAGGTCAGTGCCTCTGGGTCTGTCATGTAAATGTGCATCTGCTGGAGAAGGCTGTGCCTGCTGAGGGTGAGGAGGAGCCAGCATCACCAGCGAGGCTCAGGGAAGCAGGCGTCAGCCAGTGCAAGTGCATTACAGATTGCTAACCTGGGCAAGTTTAGCTGGGTCTCATTCCACCATGGTCCTTTTTGGTTGAGCTCATCAGGTAGGTCTGACCCCTTCTGGAGGCACCAGGGCTGGGCAGAGAGGAAGGGGTGAAGCTGAAGGTCTCTGATGTCCCTTTGTAAAACAAGAACAGCAGATGAGCTGCACAGGTGTTCAAATGCCTTCCTTATCTTTGTGTAAAACCCCCAGCTCCTCATGGCTTAACAGGATCTCTTCCGTGAACCAAGGCACCTCCCGAGGCTGCTGTCGGAGAAACCCAACACACACAGCATCCTCCTTTACCAGCTGGTGCTGCCTGCAGTGTCTTGGCTTAAAATAAAGCTCCTGGAATCCCGGTGAGCTCCATCAGATAGAGCAGCGCTTGGTTTCATGGCATGCCCAGGGCCCACAGACCACGCTGAGTGGTAAGAGATGGAGATCCAGTCCTCGCTGCGCTCACCTCACCTGACTTCAGCAGCGAGCAGCTAACAACATCCTCCCTGCTGTGGTGGTGTTTTTTTTCTTTCATCTTATCAGGCCCAGAAGTAAGATTAGGCAGGAAAACACGGTCTGGTCAACACCTCCATCCGGCTTTGCCCTGCCAGCGTTCCCAACAGGTCCCCTCGGGCTGAGACACGGCTTGAGCAGCTTGCACATCTCGATGTGCTGCCCACAGGAAAAGTGTCTACAAACAGAAGCCGCTCGGACAGCTCTGTTGTGAGCGTGGCATCACAAAGAGCGTGCCTGGGAAGTGCCCTGCTGGGTGAGCTTCGCACCCACCGCCTAAATCACAGCAAACGCTCCGCTGAGACTGGGCAGCGGCTGGACTCCCATCAGATGCTGAATCACTGCTGATACATGGCCTGATGGCGGAGGGTTTAGAAATACTCCAGACGTGTCCAGTTTTACTTCTTCACATTTGCAGTTGCAGCAGAGCTTCAGCCAGGCGTCACGGAGTATTTAAGGGTGACAAACCCAGACAACGTCAGCTGTCGGTGCCTGCACCCCTCCAGCCCATCAACAGACTGCCTGTGCTAATGCAGAGAGAAGGTTACAGCTCAAAAGGTACCGACAGACTGCATAAGGGACCTCCAGGGCCAGAGAGACAGGGTGAAGACACCTGCACAACCCGCAGTATCCCAGACCCTGCACGGGTGATGGATTAGGACTGGGAACGCAGCAGAAGCAGAGCAGCCCCTGTTGGGAGCATCGTCCCTGCCCACCAGGGGAGGAAGCTGCAGCCAGAGCAGATCCAAGACAGAGTCAGAAAGCAACGTGCCCAGCTCATCCTCCATCCCACCCCATGTCCAGCCTTCCCCAGAGGGACCCTCTGGTTGGAGGGGGGACACCACCCCAACCAGCATCCTCCGGCACAAAGCATCCTTCCCTGCCCAGGCTGGTGCAGGTGTTACAGGACGCTCTGTTCTGGGGCTGCCTCCTGCAGAAATGGGCAATGCTGTATGATCACTGCCAAATTCATCCCCATCACAAAAGCCAGCTGTTCCCCCAAAAATTCCAGTGCAATTGCACGGATAGGACACCCCGTGGCTGCAACACAGTGCGAGGTTGGGCTGGGGATGGCGAGCACCAGCTCTTTCACACCCTGCTTGCCAATTCGTAGCGTACTCAACAGGGAATGGGAACCAGTAGAAAAGAGAAAAAATAGCTCTTACCCGAGATTGAGAAAAAGAAGGGAGGCACAGGAGACTGAAAGCAGCCTGAAGGAGTTAGACTTTGAGTTCTCCTACCTGGAACAGGACATCGAGCTGGACCGAGGTGAGACCCCAGCCCCTGTCCTGCTGCAGTGCACAATGCTCCCCATGGGGTACTGAGCACAGGCCACGCAAACCAGACCGCAGCCAGAGCTCCCCATTCTGCAGCCACACTGCCAGAGCTGAGAGCATGGCACGAAGGGAACACAGCAGGGCATGCAAGAGGCTAGCCATGGCTGTGCTCTCCCCGGCAGGCTGCCTCCATGGGCTGTGACACAACACAGCAGCTGCCTCCTGAACTGTGTCTCCAAAACAGCACCTGGACTCCACGTAGGAGCAGAGGGGAAGACAGGCTCGGGAAGCAGATGTGGTGATGTTGATCAAAGCTACTGGGAAACTACAGTAGGGCACCAATCCTTAAGGATTTGGGGCTGAGACTGCCATGGCACCCTTGAACATACAGCTACTCCCTGCTCTGATCTCATCATCCAGGAAGTCCAGCAATTGAAGTCCAGCAATTGAAGACATGCCAATGGCAGCTCTTTTAACAGCCTTGTGGAGGATGGCAGGGCTCTGAAGTGTCTCAAGCTTCTGAAGAAGCTGGAATTGCTGGCCTGCAGACTCTGGAAAACCCTCTCTGCACGGTCCCTGGAGGGCTGTGCAGTCCTATAGCACCTCTCCCTGGAGATGGAGGGATGGGACTGGCTGTGCAGTCAGGGAGGAGCACGGATGGAGGCTGCCTCTCCCTGCCCAGCACTGCCATCCCCTGAGACAATCCAAGTCCCCTCCTGCAACAGCCAGCTCCAGGTGAGGGGTGCAGAACTGGGCAGCTGTTGCTCCAAGTGCTGCCCAGAGTCAATCCATCCCCATCTTGCCCAGCCAGGAGGACAGGCTGTGAATCCCCTGCAGATAAAAAGAGTCATCCTTCCAAAAGAGGATGTTCAAAGGCTTCATGTGGAAAGGCCTCAGAAAATAGCACTGAAAGGCACTGCTGATTTATCAACTGACCAGATTGTATCCTCCGAGTCACCGAAGACCACAGAAGTCAGCATTTTTCTTGCTGCAATTCAGCCAGATGCACCAAACACACCTACGCTGAGGAAGACTCCTGCATGAGGGCTTGCTTTCTGCCCTAACAGGATCTTTCATCACATACTCGAGGCCATACCCCCCAGCAGTGCCTGCTCTTCCACTTTGGAAGTTAATTCCAGGGAAAGGAGGCACCACGTTGCTGTAGTCCACTGACTCAAACCAGCTCACTCACCAGCTTCTCTTGCTGACTGCCCATGTTCGTTGCCTTCCCCTTACCTGAGCATGTAGGGAACTGCCGTGGGCTTCTACCAAAATAACCACTCACACGTGGTAGATGTTACTGAACTCTAGTTTAATTTCATGGTTGTCATGTCTGTACAACATTGTACAAAATATAAACAAAAAGAACATTTACTGGAGCAGCTACATTTCAAAGGTGACACTAACATGGTAGTTCAGCACTGCTGCATCCTTTTTTATGGCACTTGCTACAATAGCTTTAAGTGCAGCATTGATCTGCTCATATAAATATAATGCGGTTCTAGATTTCCATTCGTTCTCATCAGTGCATTTTCACTGCCAGTAGCACTACCTTGTGTTAGCCTCATCTGAGAATTTCTCTTGCCTAGATAAAGCTAGTAGACAAATACTCCTCAACTCAGAGGTTAAGGGAAATAACATACATAGCTGCGACTGGTAGTAGAATAATGCACAACTGCTTCTACCAGAAGTAGGAAACCTGCTGAGAGTTAGGTGAAATCCAAAATGAGTGCTCTGGAGTAGAAAGCCACAGGCCAAAAGGCCACCTTCACAGAGAGCTGGTGTCATGAAGTGTTCTTGCAGCAGCCTGACAAGTGAGTGCTGTGGCAGAATGGTTTCTCAAATCTGTTTCCCATCCAAAGTTTCACTTTGGCCAATTATATTTCCTCTCATCTTCTGTGTTCCTGAAGCTCTCATCTGTGTTTTAAGGGTCGTAGTGGAAAGCCACAATCATTATGAAAAGATGCAATTCTCTTAAAGCTTTTTTTCCCCCATTTTGACTACGATGCAGCATCATGTTCAAAATGCAACTATTGGATCTGGAAAACACTCAGACTATAATGGACATCTGAAAATAAATATGTAGCCTTTGTACAAAGCCAGTTCTCAATGAAAACCTTCTCATTCACATAGGAGTGCAGAGGAGTTTTCAGGAAGTTCGTGCTACAGGGAGGAAGTCTGAAAATAAGAGAAAGAGAGAAGTAGAGCAAAATTTTGTCACAGAAGACAACTTGAAAGGTATACTGAAAGGGAAACCTGAAAAGTTACAGGGTCAAGAGGATCAATGTCTGAAAAAGCATTACAGGGATCTAATTAACCTGTTTCTCCATTCATATAGTTCTACTGAGGTGTCTTGAATTGCATTAAAATGAAAATATTTGACTTAAAGTAAAGGATGTTTCATAATGAACCGAGGAAAATGCTAGTGATATTTACCCATAAGTATATTCACCAGATGCTCATCCTCAGCCAGCTACACTCATTCTGCATTCATGCGAGAATCCTCAATGACCCTGTTCAACTTACATCTTACTGCTCTCTGTCTTCTCTTCTCATTGCCTTTGGCCTTCTTCCTTCCTGCTTCACCTAGCATGGCTATTGCACAAATCTTTTATCCTGCACTGCAGAGAAATCTAACCTAGATGTTATCTTATGGTCTGGTTTGGGCTGGGATAAAGTTAAGTTTCTTCACAGTGGCTGGTATGGTGACATGTTTGGGATTTACGGAGAAAAATAATGCTGATAACACATCGATGTTTTTGTTGTTGTGAGCAGTGCTTACACTAAGTCAAGGACTGTCCAACGTCTCATATCAACCCTGCCAGTGAGGAGGTTGGAGGTGCACAAGAAGCTGGGGTGACACAAAGCCAGAATAGCTGATCCAAACTGGCCAAAGGGATGTTCCATACTATATGTTGTCATGCTCAGCAAGAAAACTGGGGGAGTTGACTGGGGGAGCTGCTGCTGCTGCTCAGGGACTGGCTGGGCATTGGCCAGCAGACTGGGAGCAATTGCATTGTGCATCACTTGTTTTGTATATTCTTTTATTATTACTATTATTATTTTAACCTTTTTTTTTCTATCCAATTAAACTGTCTTTATTTCAACCTGTGAGTTTTACCTTTTTTCTGATTCTCTTCCCCATCCCACTGGTGAAGAGTGAACAAAAACTGTGTGATGCTTTGCTGCCTGCTGGGTTTAACCACATCTTATTAAAGATGGGATTTTTCTTTCTAAAAATTTTTCTCAAGATCAAGCAAGGCCTCTGGGCTCATGTAGAAATCAAGAGTTTTTCATATCTGCCTTCTCACATCTGTTTCAAATGATCACTTAGGTGAACTAAAAATTCTATAAAGCAGGCCAAATGCACACAGTCTCATAGGAGATTGCTCCTGTCAGTAAATAAAGATGTATGACTACCATTTTTAAGGCATCTTGACAGCAATGATATTTGTCTTCAGAATACAGGAGAAAAGAAAAGAAGTATTAAAGATTGTTACCTTTAATAGCGAGGAAGGCTCTGCTGAACACACGGCCCAATTCATTGGCGGCTTCAACCATGTATTCTCCTTCATCAACTTTTGAGACCCCTTGGATCACCAGGGAGCAGACACCAAAGTCATTTGTGCCAAAATAGGCAGGATCACTGGAGAGGTCTCTACTGTCCTTATACCAAGTGATCTTTGGAGGTGGATGGCCTGCAACGGCACAGCTCATACGGCACTCACTCCCAGTAGTCACCACATGAGGCTTCAATGGGACGAGGAATCTCGGGGGCTGGTTTTGATTAACTCCTCTGTATTTCTGTGGTCTGATATGAACTTCAGCTGGTAAAAAAAAACAAACCACAAAGCAACATACAAACTCAGATACTGCTTCATGTTCAGATAGAAGTCAAAGAAATCAAAGGACTTAACACATGCCATTCTGCACTGCAAATATCCAGAGACCCCACACACCTGTGGACTGTAATCGAAGTCAGAAACTTGAGTTTCTGCAAAACTTACGCCTTAGATTTTGCTGGATACTAATTCTGTTACAAATTATCTGTTAATAAGGGCTGGAAGTAAAGGTTCTATCTGGTTTGCAACAATGTCTGTTCAAAAAGGGAGATCCTTCCCTGCCAAACTGGAATTTCTTAGGTTATTTTTATGCACTCTTATTTTGGGCAAATAAATGCTCACAGGAGGAGAGATCTATTTCAACATAGTGTGTTAGAAACAATAACAGGAACAAAGCACAACAACATTGTTACACAGATAGCTATATGTAAAAGCTGTTTTACCCTTTGTTTTTTTAATTCTCCAAGGCTGCACAGTTTCAGATGGACCACTGGATCCCAACTCATTTTTTGCCACAACCCTAAAGTAGTAGTCCCGGCCTGGGATCACTTGGGTGTATGTGAATTTGTTGGTGTAGATCAGGTCACCCACCACGTGCCACACGCCCTTCTGTGATTCACGTTTCAGAACCGTATAGTAGAGATTGCGTTCCCATTTCTCAGATGCTGATGGCTCCCAGGTTACTGTCACTGCATTTGGCACATTCTCTTGCAGTAGAATAGGTCCAGGGTTTTGTGGGATATCTGTCAGATTAAGACAAGTAATATTAAAGACGTAGGGAAACTTCTGCTGCATTAGACCCACAGCCTGTTTATGGACAGAGGGAAGAGATGAGGGTTGGTACACCTAAACCTTTTCACCTCTTAATGATACAGCTTAAAGAGTTGTTCTAGCTATGAATTAAGGTTATACAGCCTGCTACTGACCAAGCTCAGACCATTAAAAAGTGCATGAGCCTCTCTCCCGTGGTTTACACTATTCATCTGCATGACCTTATCTCTTTAAGCAGTCACTCTGGTAGCCAGGTCTAGTCCTAATCAGTAGATTAATCTGTTGGGCAGGCTGGGCCAAGTGATACCACATAGCGGACAGACTGCATCTTCTGGAGAATTGTATTCATTCTCCTGGTGCCTGCATTGCTTAACCACATCAGAGCTCACTGTGCTGAGCTCAGTTCACTACCGACTGTAAATCTGTACACACGCGTATGTACTTATACTTAAATACACATGCTAGCGACTTACCTGTAACTTGAACTTGGAAGCTGAATGTTTCTCTTTTCCCTGACCCATTCTTGAGCTCAATGGTGTAGATGCCGCTGTCAGTCAGCTCAGCTGCTTTAATCAGCAGCTGGGAGGTACCATCTTTGGTGCTTATTGTAGCCCGGTTTGAAAGGAGAAGCCCATCCTTTAACCAGGTCACCTCTGGATCTGGAGATGCCTGTGAAGAATAGTACCAGTTACAGTCCACCTGCTTTGCCTCTAAATTATATCTTTACATCTACAGCTTCATTATTTTGTCCCAAATACTCAAAAGTGTTCGCATAGATGTGCAACATACACAAGTACCAGAGATGGATCTAAGAGCCCTGGATACAGAGCTGCTCAAGAGTTCCTCTGCAAGTTTTTATGTCTATCTCCTGTAAGAACATCATTGTACTAAGGTGCTCAGGAATAGCTATATCAAACAAGGTGTGCTAGGGCAAAAACAGATGACATCAGTAGTTAACATTTTCTACTTTAAAAAATATCTGCTGGTTTTTAAAGGAAAGAAAAATAAAAACATCCTCAAAGTGTAAATTTCTATTCTTCCATCTTTGGTCTCCATACTCCAAAGGAGCAGATGAGTTGGAGCAAGACCAGGAAATAAGCACACTTTGCCTTCATCAGCTTTTTCCTGAGAACCTAGGCTTAACCTGTGTTGTTCCAACTTTATGTCAAAGCAGATAGGGCTTCTGTAAAAAAGCCTATTTTTCAAGGAATAGGGCTTACGTCCTGCTGTTTAGTAAGACGGTCACAAGGATGTTGCTACAAAAGCTACCCCAATGCCTTCTGAGGGAGATGGAGGGAAATCGACTGATTTTTAAACTAAGTATGATGGATCAGTACTAGATTGAGATAATACTGAGGAAGTTGGAAGGACAGCATTACAAGTGTTTTATTTGCTGAGGTTACTGAGTAACCACAGTCTCATAAACCACTAAGACCAAGCATGACAGCTGAATTCTTGTTGTCGTTTTCCTCATACAGAAAGTATACACAGCACAGGCAGGTTAAAGGATTTGCTGAGTGTCTTGTAAGCAAAATTTCACACCAAGAAAATAATAGCTCAATTTTCATGTCTACTACTGACATACAAAAAAAAAAAAGAGACAGGAGTTTCTGAATTACATTTGAAAACTTACCTCGAAAGGAATATCTACTCGGATAGTATTTCCTGCTTTTATAATCAGGAAATTTTTCACTCTGTCATCTATTAAGAACCTGGGAGAAACTGGAAAAGACAGTGATTGCAACAAAACGCTGTATGTTATGACACAGTCATTGGCTGACAAACTCATATGCATGTGCTAGCCTTTCCAACAGGTAGTCTGCAGGCTGTTGATAAACTCAGTGGGGTACTATCGAAAAAAAGCTCCTTGATTCACTACCAAAGTTTCTTGCTAGCCATTACACCTTTCAAATGTTATTATTGTTTATTTAGCACTATGACTATATGAGAGAGAAGGATGTTAAACTACATTTTCAACAGTGTTTGTATACGTGCGATATCTCAATCATGGATAAATTTGCTCTTTGATACACTTCAACCGATGACATGATGAATCTCTTGTCTAAATTAATAAACTGAAAACTCTACTTCTCAATTAAAAAATTTACAAACAAACAAACAAAAAATGTCATTGTAACATATGTGGCTTCTGTCTGGTGATCATCACTTCGGCATAGCTCCATGGCAGGGGTGTGGGGGGCAAAATGTAAATCCATATAGAAATACAGTTTTGAGGGTTCTTGTATAGTAATAACAGGAGGCTAAACACAGTCTATTATACAGTTTTACCTTTAGAATTTCTTGATGAGGTATAACCAAATAACATTCTAGAAGGGCAATGTAATACTTGTCCCTGTGCTACAGCCTGGGACTTTAAAGAAAATCATCACAGCCACCTACAGATCTTGCCTTCATCTTGTTACCTACAGAACAATCTTGCTCATGCTGAAAGCAGCCCACTAGACTCACCAACAGTGGAATCAGCTTCAATGAAAGCTTCAAGCTCTGCAGCTTCTCCTGGGCCGCAGTCATTGAGGGCTCTCACACGTAAGAAGTACAGCTCCTTGTTTTGCAGGCCTTTAACTGTGTAAGTGGTCACATCTATAGGAAGAACATTGCATTTGGTCCAGTCGAGGTTGTTAGAAGACCGTATCTCCACGTCGTAGCCTTTCACATCATTCCCATCTTTTGCTTCGGGTCTCTTCCATGTTAGGGTGACACTAGTGCTGTCAGTGCTGGTCACTGCGAGGTCCCTCACTTGACCTGGAGGTTCTGAAAAGATAAATTTTATTTAAACTATTTTTCTAGTATTCCTGCTACACTTCCCCCCACCCCCCCCAGCTTTTCAGTCACTTCCTGAGATCCCCAATATTCTTGCAGTGCACTAGATAACCCTGTTATCTTGCCTCCATTTTGTTCCAGTTCTTCAAACCTGGATATAGGTGCCTGCTCCAGTGAGCCATGCAGTACAGTCTGCAACAATCCTGAAATGGTCTGCAACCCATCCCGAATCTCTCTGCACAACACATAGCTCCTGCACAGGGCATCTGTCATATCTTAACTGAAACATCACACAGGAAACCCTTCCATTCCTTCCTCATGAAGATAGAGGATTCTCAGCCGTGAAACATTCCCCAATTATTTGATCTTTGTCTTCATATACTTTTACAAAGTGTTTACAAACATCGCCTGTGCAATAACATCCCCAGTCTACATTCAGCTTTACATATTCCCAAGCCAGAAGGATAGCAGCTGTTCACTTACTCGTGGAATCTCGAGCAAAGACAGGTTGTGACGGTGCGCTGATATCTCCTACACCAGAAGCATTGACAGCTGCCACACAAAATTCATACTGCAGACCCTTCTTGAGATCGGTCATTTTCAGCTTCTTATCTGCAGAATGAAAACAAGCATGTTGGCTCAGGTGAGGAGTACCCCAACAAGAATTGACAAGACAACAATGTTCTACTTTACTGAATCCATGCAAACTACAGATTGCGTAATTCTGAGGAGCCACGTATAAATGCTGTCTCCAGTTCGTTTGCCCTTCCCTATCCTAGTGTATACATACTACTGTGATATGTTCATTGTATTCTCTTTCAAAACAGACTCTGAGAGCTACTAAGTTACAGAAAGAATATCAATTGTATTTCCTCATGATATAAACCTAAACTCTTCTGTACTACCAGGTGAGAGGTCCTAGTCTGCATAGATAGATAATTGATAGCTATAGTCCAAACACATTTAGGAGCTTATTTTTATCTCTTGTGTTTCTTTACCTTCCCTGCATTTCTGAGTTCCTGCCTGCCTAGTTCTTAGCATGAGGATTAAGGACAGTAGTTCTGCACGCGAAATTAAGACTTCAGTTCCAGAGATTGAAGAAGAGTTGGAAGGCAGCAACGCTGCAAAGCATGTTACCTTCTGAACCCAGCTGAACTTACGGCTTTTTTCAAGTCTTCCATCTTGTTCCAGGATTTAAGTAAGCTACCTACCTGCTATGGGCACACTGTTGACTGGCACCCAGGTCATGGTACCCTTCTTGCGTTTTTGAACGATGTATCCCACGATTCGGGAGCTGCCAGTTCTACGAGGTGTTTTCCAGGAGATTGTGATAGTGTCTTTGCTGACACTGATGATCTCAGGGGGGTCTGGGGCACCAGGTGTAGCTGGAAAGAGAACAGTGTTTCATTATTAGCAGATACACTTTTCTTGCAAAATAAGGAAGTGTTCTGAGTCATTTCTTCTTCCAAGTTTCCCCAATGTATTTATATGGAAGTGCTTTGAAAGCATGACTGAGACCTGAAGTTGTGTATGCTGTTCCCTACAGAAACAGGATCCCACATGGACCTTATTTTCTGAATTTTCTTTTCATGAATGACCTGTGGTCATCACCACTGAGTATTCTGCTCTCAGCCTACAGAGAGAAGCACGTACACTTCTTACACAATGGGTCATCTACTTCCATTCTCCCTGCCATGGGCAGGGACACCTCCCACTGGATGAGGTCATCCAAAGCCCCATCCAACCCGGTGTTATTCCTTACCTTTACTGACAGCCTTTACTTCCTCTGATTCCAGTGCATCGCTGGTTCCCTCTGCATTCACAGCCCTCACCCTGAAGTAGTAGCTCATGTCTCGTTCCACTTTGTTGGTAGTGAAAGTAGTACAGCTCCTGGGGGTTTCTGCAAGAGCCACCCAGTCGCCCTTGCCTACCTCCTGCCTCTCAACAATATAGCTTTGCACTGGTTTGCCCCCATCATCCTTCGGGGGTTTCCACTGAATCGTGATGTCATTTGCAGAGCTTTCTACAATTTTCAAGGGTCCTGCAGGTGGCTGCGGCTTGTCTGAAAAGATGAACACAAGCAGGTTAGCTCCAGATCCAAATGTACTCCTGGGTTTGGTGCAGACATTGTTTCTTGCTCACCAGCTGGGACATTCAGTTTCTGATGGTACTTATGACTAGTTGCAGAATGAGGGCCAAGCACCTGAACTGCCTCTTCAAACATCCACTCCTCTAACTTTTCATAAGGGTGTAGGAAGCTATGCACTTGCTCCATGGGCTGATTGTTCTCATACAAATTATACCAAGACAGCTCACTTACAAAGCACACCATCAGTTCTGATCTTTCAAAGGAGCAGAGACATTTATGGTAAAATGGAATTTGGCCTTGATAATCTGATTATAGATTTGCCTGTTGTGTGTAGTCCTATCTTCCAAAATTTCCCAACATTCAAAAGTCAACTGATGAGGCTGTCCAACACCAAACAAGATTTGCGTCATCTTGTATTAAAGGGGAGGAAACACGTCAACAACTTTGGCTTGTATCTTAATTTACTGGAAAATTACATAGCCTTGTTCATCTTGGAATAGCCAATAGTCCTAAATAAGATTGTGACCAGCATTACTGGTTCCACTTCCTAAGCGTTACAATAAAAGACACTGTAGATGTTACGGGGTCTTACCTGTTACCTCAACCTTTAGGTCGATATCTAAGATGCCACTGTCATTCTTCAGCCTGACTTTATAATCCCCACGGTCCTTTCTCTCAGTGTTGGCGATGGACAGCATAGTATAGGTGTCTGTTTTATCAAGACGAATCCTTGAGTCATCTGCTAGCTCCATTTTGTCCTTTAGCCATGTTGCTCTGACTGGCAGCCGGCCTTCAAAAGGGATCTTGATCTTTATATTCTCCCCTGCCTTGGCCACAGTAGGCACACTTGTTAAGTTTTTCAGGAGAACTTTGTCAACCTGTGGAGGATCTAAGCAGATAATACAAGCTCATTAAAAAATGCAGTTCAAAGAGGATAAGGCCAACCTTGGAGGGGAGGCCTTCTCTACGTTCATTATTGCTGTATATTTCAAACATATATTCCAAAATATATTTATTTGGTTCTTTGGGGACTTATCCAACCTGAAAAAGCGAAGTTCATGATGCTGCAAACTCATTGACCTTCACATTTATTCTTACACCCAGCACTTCACACACATGCATGCAACTTTGCTGCAGGATAATTTTCAGAAAGCATTCATGATATCATACTGTCCTTTTCACTGTAGCAAGTTTTGCATAGGCAACATATTACACATATAAGAATGAAGAATCCCTTTTGATAAAGCCATATGTGTGCACCCACAATCTTTGAGTTAGTAGTAGAAGCTAGTCATAAAGGCTCCCTAGTTAAACTTTTATGCACCGACCAGTAACAAAAACATTCCTCATATTGCTGGTTATTATTATAAAGTCTCAATAACCAACTATAGGTCCTGAGGAAATGTATTGCATCACTCACCTTCAACAAAAATTGAAGCTTCAGTTTTTATATCTCCAGCTTCAAACCTGTATTTCCCAGCATGAATATCTTCCACTTTGCTAAAAATTAGTTTGTGGACTAGACCTTGCTTTTCAAATATGACTCCCTCCATGCTTGTTAACTACAAGATAAAACACAGGGACCCATGCTTAATAAAAAATAAGAAGACAATCCAAACAGGCAAAATTTTGAAATGTAATTTAAATGATTTATGAATGTCGTGTGTTTAATTACAATAACATTCTGGGGTTACATATCTGATAACTAATTCAACACCATATTCCCCACAAAGGCTTGAATCAAAGACCATTAAATAAATGGTAATTCTAATTTGACTTCTGATCTTAAAACATTATCTCCAAACCTTCATTTTCTATTCTTAATGCTGACACTTTAACCCAGGCTCAAGGATGACATCTCGGAAATCCCACAGTATCATATGGATCCCACAATTTGAACTAGTCTGTTATGATCTTTTGGGATATGGAATGTGATGTCTATACTTGATTTTAAGCACTAATTTGAAAGAGTACTTTCGGTGTTATACCTGCCTGAAGATCATTTGAAGATTTTTTTTTTTTCATATTTTTCTCATGCACCAAAGTAAAGAAAAGGGATTCCATTTCAAGTAAAAGACCCATGTCATCTTCACCCATGGAAAAGAATGGAAAACACAAAGCCTCCTGCTGTCAGCAAGAATGGACATAACTTGCAGCAGGAATGCAAAGAAATCTGTCAGTTTCTGACAGGAAGTTTAGCTTAAACAAGCTCCTGCAGAAGTCTTCTAGGGCCATGCTGAGACCACAGTAAGACCGGCAGAGAGAAAGACACCTCAACATGATACTCAATAAGACATAGAGCCAGAGAGCAGAGCACAGATAGCCAAAGGAAAAAGCAGCTACAGGACACTGACCTTTAATCCATCTTTAAACCAGGTTCCTGTCAAATCTTCTTTATTGACAGCACAAGACAGCTCAGCTGGTTCCCCTTTCTGGACTCGGACATCAATTAACTGCTTGTTGACATGACAGCGTGGTGCTAAGTGTCCAGAAAAGAAAATGTTGGAAAGATGCTAATTCTGTCCTACACTGACAGAGAGTAATATACACATCTTATACACCATCTTGTAGCCCTCCTTTGGGCACTCTAGTAGTAGAATCCAGCACTTGCTCTTGTTAGTATCGAAACTGCACAGATCAGCAATACAGAAGTAATCAGTTAAACACGTACCTCTCAGATCATCTAGGCGATACTGTCTTCTTTTCTCTGTACTTTCCGTATTCTTCAAGAAGTCATTTGTTTTAACATCAAGGCTGGGTAGCTGCTTTCTCTGGTTTATCGAGGAGGGTCCACCATAAAGGTTTGATGTCTGATCATAACCTGGTGAACCTTGACCGAAAACACCTGGCTTCCTCCCGTCACCCAACCTGTCATGAGATTTGCCCCCTGCCCCTCCAACAGCAGAATCTTTGCCATAACGGGAGCCTAACTGTCCTAAACCTCTGTCCTCACCCCTACCATCCCTTTGACCTGATTCTTTGTCGTGGGGTGAGCCTTTGTGTCCTGGCCCTCTGAAATCACCGGCAGTTCCCTTTCCAGCTTCACCTCGTGCAGATTTGCCGGGACGTGAATCAAGCCCATATTCACCACCCATTCCAGCACCTCCCATTCCTTCCGTACCCCAGGCTGAATGTAACTCCTTCCCATCACCTCCCAACCTGCCAACACCACCCCCTCCAGCCCTGCCTCCAGCTGACCCCCCATCCTTCCCATATGCAGACCCAGCACCTAGTATGGCAGAGCCACCAAAACCCCTTCCTTCTGAGGATAAGCCAGCTCCTCCTGCTCCACCTCCATATCCTTGAACACTGCTCAGCCCAGCACCCCGACCCTGGTGTGAACCCATTCCTTCTTCACCTCCAAAAGGAGAACGAGCTACTCCTGCTGCAGCACCACTTGATAGACCATCTTTTCCATAGGAAGATCCAGCCCCCCTTGCACTGGTTATACTACCACCAGCCCCAGCTGGGAGACCATCCTTTCCATAGGGAGACCCTACACCACCAAAACCACCGGCACCAGCACCACCAACACCAGCCCCAGCTCCCATTCCCACTGGAAGGCCATCTTTTCCATATGGAGACCCAGCACCTCCCAAACCACCTACACCAGCACCGCCAACACCAGCCCCAACCCCAGCTGGGAGACCATCCTTACCATAAGGAGAACCAACTCCCCCTGCACCAGCTAAACCAGCACCACCAACACCAGCCCCAGCTGGGAGACCATCCTTTCCATAGGGAGATCCAAGACCTCCCATACCACCTGCACCAGCACCACCAATACCAGCCCCAGCTCCAGCTGGGAGACCATCCTTTCCGTAGGGAGACCCAACACCTCCCAAACCACCTGCACCAGCACCAGCACCACCAACACCAACCCCAGCACCACCAACACCAACCCCAGCTGGGAGACCATCCTTTCCATAGGGAGACCCAACACCTCCCAAACCACCAGCACCACCAACACCAGCCCCAGCTGGGAGACCATCCTTTCCATAGGGAGACCCAACACCTCCCAAACCACCCACACCAGCACCACCAACACCAGCCCCAGCTGGGAGACCATCCTTTCCATAGGGAGACCCAACACCTCCCAAACCACCCACACCAGCACCACCAACACCAGCCCCAGCTGGGAGACCATCCTTTCCATAGGGAGACCCAACACCTCCCAGACCACCTGCACCAGCACCACCAGCCCCAGCTCCAGCTGGAAGACCATCCTTACCATACGGAGAACCAACACCACCCAAACCAGCTGCACCAGCACCACCAATACCAGCCCCAGCTCCAGCTGGGAGACCATCCTTTCCATAGGGAGACCCAACACCTCCCAAACCACCTGCACCAGCACCACCAGCGCCACCAACACCAACCCCAGCTGGGAGACCATCCTTTCCATAGGGAGATCCAAGACCTCCCATACCACCTGCACCAGCACCATCAATACCAGCCCCAGCTCCAGCTGGGAGACCATCCTTTCCGTAGGGAGACCCAACACCTCCCAAACCACCTGCACCAGCACCACCAACACCAACCCCAGCACCACCAACACCAGCCCCAGCTGGGAGACCATCCTTTCCATAGGGAGATCCAACACCTCCCAAACCACCTGCACCAGCACCACCCACTCCAGCTGGGAGACCATCCTTTCCATAGGGAGACCCAACACCTCCCAAACCACCTGCACCAGCACCACCAACACCAGTCCCAGCTGGGAGACCATCCTTACCATAGGGAGAACCAAGACCTGCTGCACCCCCTGCACCAGCTCCACCCACTCCAGCTGGGAGACCATCCTTTCCATAGGGAGACCCAGCACCTCCCAAACCACCTGCACCAGCACCACCAAAACCAGCCCCAGCTGGAAGACCATCCTTTCCATAGGGAGCACCTATACCTGCTGCACCACCTGCACCAGCACCACCAACTCCAGCTGGGAGACCATCCTTTCCATAGGGAGACCCAACACCTCCCAGACCACCTACACCAGCCCCACCAACACCAGCCCCACCAACACCAGCCCCAGTTCCCATTCCCACTGGAAGGCCATCTTTTCCATAAGGAGAGCCAATTCCTCCTGCACCACCAACACCAGCCCCACCAACACCAGCCCCAGCTGGAAGACCATCCTTTCCATAGGGAGACCCAACACCTCCCAAACCACCTACACCAACCCCACCAACACCAGCCCCAGCTGGGAGACCATCCTTACCATAGGGAAAACCATCACCACCTGCACTAGCACCACCAGCCCCAGGTCCCATTCCCACTGGAAGGCCATCTTTTCCATAGGGAGATCCAACACCTCCCAGACCACCTACGCCAGCGCCACCGGCGATAGTCCCAGCTCCAGCTGGGAGACCATCCTTTCCATAGGGAGATCCAGCACCTCCAAAACCACCTACGCCAGCACCACCAACACCAGCCCCAGCTGGAAGACCATCTTTTCCATAGGGTGAACCAACTCCCCCTGCACCAGCTAAACCTGAACCACCAACACCAGCCCCAGCCGGGAGACCATCCTTTCCATAGGGATATCCAGCACCACCAAGACCACCTACACCAGCCCCACCAACACCAGCCCCAGTTCCCATTCCCACTGGAAGGCCATCTTTTCCATAAGGAGAGCCAATTCCTCCTGCACCACCAATACCAAGCCCAGCTGGGAGACCATCCTTTCCGTAGGGAGACCCCACACCACCAAAGCCATCCACACCTGTACCACTGGCACCAGGTCCCATTCCCACTGGAAGGCCATCTTTACCATAAGGAGAGCCAATTCCTCCTGCACCAGCACCACCAACACCAGCCCCAGCTGGGAGACCATCCTTTCCATAGGGAGACCCAGCACCTCCCAAACCACCTGCACCAGCACCACCAATACCAGCCCCAGCTCCAGCTGGGAGACCATCCTTTCCATATGGAGACCCCACACCACCAAAGCCATCTACACCTGCACCACCAATACCAGCCCCAGTTCCCATTCCCATTGGAAGGCCATCTTTTCCATAGGGAGAGCCAACACCTCCAAAACCACCTACACCAGCACCACCAGCCCCAGCTCCATCTGGGAGACCGTCCTTTTGATAGGGTGATCCCATTTGTCTTCCGGCTCCATCAGCTCTAACCCAATTTCCAGCTCCAGCCCCAGGTTCACCTGATTGTCCATGTTTACCATAGAACCCTCCCATTTTACCTGCAGTAGCGTCGTCAACACCTGCCCCAACTGGTAGACCATCTGGACCATAGAGTACCCCCATTTCTCCTGCAGAACTTCCACCTGCACCAGTTCTAGCCCCATCTCCAGCTGGGAGACCACCTGGGCCATACAGCAAGCCAGGTCTTCCTGCCTGACCTAGATGACCACCAGCATCAGCTGCTAAGCCATCCATTCCATACGGAGCCCCTGTTTCTCCTTCTCTTTTTATACCAGCTCCACTCACACCAGCCACAGTAGGCAAACCATCCTTGCTATAGGGGGACCTCATTCCTCCTGCAGTCTCAGTACCGGCGGCATTCTTACCAGATCTAGTCCTACCTAGCTTATCATCCTTACCATACAGGGAATGCTTGTCTCCCACTCTGGTTGAATCAGGATCAAGTCCATCTAACACAGAACTTCCATCAGTAGCACCTAATTTCTTGATACCACCAAAGCCAGCTCTAGAACTATTATCATTTTTGCCATGCCAAGAATCCATACCTTCTGCATCATCCATGTCAACATCAACTGCATCCAACATGCCCTCATCTCTGCCATCCACAGAATACAATTCATCTGCTCCTCCTGTTCTATCACCAGTATTTGCTCTACCTGTCATAGAATCCTGGCTGTGTACAGGCCTTAAACCTTTTTTCCCTCCTAAAATTTTTAGTCTCATGTCATTATCATCATCTGTCATTGATTCTCCATCTCTCTCTGCTTCAGAAAACTGCCCGGGCCCCATTGTTCCATCTCTGTATGTTTTGCGTAGCCCCTCTTTTCCCAGAAATATACGTCCTTCATCAACATCAGAGTAGCCTTGACTGCCTTCTTGGCCATTTCTGTACCAGTCATCTTTTTCTATGCCAGCATCCATCAGATCATCTTTATCGCTAAGATGTTCTCTGCGTTTAGGTTTCTTAGCCCCATCTTTATCTGTCAATGTTTCTTTCCGCCAGCCAGATTTCTCTTTTTCACCTTCTTCATCCTGTCTCTTTTTTCCTTTGGGATCTGTATTGAAGATGCATTGTTTGATTGAAGAAAAAAATTACAGAAAAAGAGAGAAAAAACAACAGTCAATGTCATGTACTACATCAACAAAGAAAATTCATTAGCAAGTTATCGTTTCTTTCTAAGACACAGAAACAGAACACATTTAAATGAATTTAAATTCAGTTAAAAACCTTTTTTTTCCATTGCTACACTTACACATAACTTTACATTTCTTAGTTAAGACAACAATTATTTTTAGCTGAAATATGTTTGTTAACAAACAAAAAAAAAAAGAAAAAAAAAAGAAGAAGAAATGGGAGATCAGGGCAAACCCAGCATGATAAATCCAATTTAGAGGGACTTAAGTGGTATCTGGGACTTCTAGGTCCCCAGAGGACCACATTAAAAAAATAAATACATCACATGTCTTCATGAACTCTGTCAGGCTTGGTGCCATGACCACGTCCCTGGGGAGCCTGTTCCAGTGCCTGACCACCCTCAGGTGACAAACCTTTTCCTCATATCCAGCCTGAACCTGCTTTAACTGGAAGGCACATTTCCCATCTTTCTCTGAGCTTCTTCTAACCTGTTTAACTCCTACTTTGGAAAGAAAATACCATCTAGCAAGATGCCCTCTAAATTCCCTTGATTGTATGTATGCTGCATCCTCATTAAAAACACATGATAGGATATGGAGTATTTTTAGGTAAATGATGGAGAACATACTACTTCATAGTAGTACTATGTACTAAGTAATACTACACAGTACATAGTACTTCATACTTCTCCAACTGCAGAGGAAATAAACAAATAGAGCTTGTCATAACTAATAAAAAAAATTGTCTCATCGGAAGAGAAAAGAAGGTCTAAACAGGCCTTCATTTCTACAGATATGCTTTAGGAACTTGAGGCTCCACAATTTGTTTCTCAGTGAGCAATAAGACAGTGAGAGGATTATTATCTTATTTACATGCTTCAGGCCAACGCTTTGGGAAAAATATATTGTCACTTACACTCTACAAGAAGATAGGCATTGGAGGAACAGAGTCCAGTGTCGAGTGTGTACATGCCGTTGTCAGAGGCCTCAACATCCTTGATAACAAGCTGATGGGTCAGACCATCAGGGGTTATGGAGATCTGGTGCTTCTCACTTGCCTCAAGGGGGTGGGTTTTATGTAGCCACACAGCATCATAGCAAGGACTGCGTAGGATACACTCAAAGACAGCATTTCCCTTCTCAGGACAACGCACATCACGAAGTGGCTGCTGAAATCTCACAGGGATGGCTGGAATGGAAAAAAAAGAAAAAAGAGAAAACACAAATCAAAGGCTACAGAAAAGAAATAGAGTTATTTCTGTCTTCTCAGAAAAAACTTGCTGCAGCTGAAGGAAGAAAGACAAGAACTTGCCATGCCTGTGAACACTACTTCAGGCAGAAAAAAAAATAGACTAAGACATGCTCCTGTGCCCACTTCTACAGTATAGAGGGTCAGATTTTTGTCTTTATTATCTTAGTATAAGCATTTATACTACCAATCACTGTGATGTGCTGGTAATTTGTAGTCATTAATGTGTTTCAGCATCCTGATACTAGTATTGAGGTTGACGGTTGTTAACCTTGCTGAGCTTACAAAAATAAACTGCAGCATAGGGTAAGTTAAGGAATTTGTCAACTGCCATCAAGAAGTCCAAAGGGTACTTGAACCTAGTCCGTTTCCTTTGGACAACAAATGCAAAATCCATACCACATAATCACCATCCAAATGTTTTTCACCTTTGTCATAAGGAGCAACCCATTATTAAGCAACACAAAAAAGTCTTCTGTTGTCATCAGCTTCGACTGCTGAGCTTTGCATATGCTCCTACATTAAACTTTCCAGCAAAAATAATTTCTTGATACAGCTGCAGATCACATACATCTAACCGAAATCCTTACATTCAGCATCCAGTTCAGTTGAGAAAACAGGTACATCTTCCACTCTGACTTGATATACGCCTGCATCTTCTGGCTGCACATCGTTGACAATGAAATTATACCTTTTCCCAATCCGCCTTAGGTAGTGCTTTCTGTATTCATCCCCTGTTCCATATCTGAGCCTCTCACCATCCTAGGAAGAGTAACAACATATTCTTAAAGACAACACACAACTAGCACAAGGCATTTCAAATAAATCAGGCCAAACTTTTGCTATTGATATCAATGAGTGGCAAGAGAGAAGCCTGCAATTTTACTGAAATGTATCTTCCAGTGGAACATCCACAACTCTGGTCACATGAGGATCACAGCAACACAACTACATAAATGGATGAGATGTTTTACTTTCTTGATATCTTCTATCAAAGAAGTGAATTAGAATCGAATATAACACTCAAATTAAATCAGTCTGTCTTTCTGATATGAGACTGCAGGATTTCTGCAACCTGAAAGACATTGTTAGAATTTACTCTTATCTGAAGAGCCCTTGAAGTAAAAAGGATGTCCGTAACTGAGAAATGTTCCCACTGTACTTGGATCTATAAATCCCGAGTGATATTCACCACCAAAGATTACCTGGACCCCCACACCAATACTTTTCCCTAATCACTCAATGATTCTGTGATGGACAGACTATTTTAAGATGCGTATTTGCTCTCAGATGCTGTCCAGTGGATCAAGCATTTAATGCAGACAACTACGGTGATTTACGACCTGGGCAATTCATCTTAAGCCTTACCTTAAGCACATAAATTTTGCTGTTACTATTTTTCAGGTCCATCTCTAGGCTAAATGTAGCAGTTCCATCCTTGTTGACCTTGATATGTTCCATATTTTTGATACTGTGAATTAACTGCAAAGAAAGATACAAGAACTTGGTAGATGGTACAGCTGCCAAGACAGAAGTCCTTAAGCTGTTGAACAAATGTGAAACCTACCTTAAATCTGCACAGAAAAGAGCTACTTCTAACTTTTTGTATACAAGAAGCACCTGTAAATGTCCAGAGGTTCTTCTGGTGGGCAAATTGTGTTGTACATGCTATGCCCTGGTCATTCATATGCTACACAACCTCTACCTGTCGAGGTTTCTACATACTCTGTATGCAACACGCAATTTTGACTCTCAGGCATATAACTCTTCAATGTTATTATCACAGACAACTGAATACAGAATTTAGCTCTGTGGTTCAATAAAAGGATTATCCTAAGTTCACTATCCCCTAAAATTTATGAAGTCAACCTCAGAAAAGTAGGTAGCTTTTTCATCTCCATCAATATAGACATAGGACTATAAAACATGTCACAAATCGTTGCCTGTCATACAATAAAATTTTCATCTGTGATGCAATTTAGGAAGGTTTAGCCCATTTTCAGAAGCTACTGAGGAACTGTAGGACTTGGCACCTTGTTAAAAATCAGTGCATTCAGTGTTTTCAGTTTATCCTACCTCTCCTTGTTCACTCTCTGCATCCCTTCTCATCTCCTGAAGCTTTCTCAGCATGCCACGGAAGTCAGAAATTCCATACTTAATACAGATTTTCTCATAATCTCTTTTATCTGCATGTAGTAACAGTTGAAAGATTGCTTCTTTGTCGATTGTTTTTTGTTTTGGTGCTGGGGCCCTTAGAAACAGGGGGAAAAAAATCAAGAATTTTTGAAAGACAACAAGACGTCTTTTTTCTACAATTCATCCTCTTTCAGTTTACTCTCCATCATTTCTGTGGCTCACTTCCCCCTGTACATATAGACAAGAAAGGATACAACTCTTCTGGCACAGGCTTTCTGTATCTAGACTACCAAATAAAATGATGTCAGGGGATAGTCTTGCCCTGGGACATATAGAACACTGTAAATTCAGCACTCTGGATAATTACTTATCAGAACCACTGGCACAGTTTAGCCCAGGCCAACCTGTACTTTCCCAAATTATTTCTCAGCACAGTTCAAGATTTTGCATAGGCCAGAGATCATTCCCAGTAGGCAGTCTTTGAGGTTTCCTGCTGAGGAAGTAAAGGGAGCTCAGCAATGGGCACATGGCAGACTGAAGATGGCATGGGAACCAGGGCTCAGTCCCTGATTGCCCAGAGAGATCATTACATGAAGATTTGCCACTCAGCCATGAAGTTACTTGCTAAGCTAAAAATGGGAAAGTGGAGAAACAGACCTTTTAAAGCCAAAATCTTCTAGTGCAAAGGAACATTCACCTCAAGGCAAGGTTGGTACCTCGAGTTTATCTCAGCCTCACAGACAGTAGCAAACTGTTCTGTCTATCCATATGCTGTCTCACAGCAACTTTGGAAACAACATATTGGCACGAAGGTCTATGAAGTTACCATATCAAGAAACCTCTGAGAAGTGTAAAAATGGCCTTCATTATACGGAGGCTTACCGCTTCCTCAGCAGCTTCCTGAGGTCCTGAAGCTTCTTCTTCAATTCTATTATGGGGGGGAAAACGACGACACACAGAGAGGGAGGGATTAAAACAACAACAACAAAAAAAAATCAGATACCCAACACTCTAAGATATGGTCCCCAAAAGAAGATAATGCAAAGCAGCCCCCAGCGGGAGACCATTCCACTATTCTGTGTTTTCCTCTGGTGATGTTTTTACACTTTATGAAAAAACTGCTGTGAAGCTTACAAGTTTATCCGCCAAACTCATGTTCTTTTAGTGCCATTAAAGGTCACTGCTTCCTACGGAGCTTTCCTCTCTTTCTAGAGAGGACACTCTAGAGACCCACAATTTTCCAGCCATGTTAACATGTTTGATGAATTTGACAGCCAAAAATCCTTTTCTAGCGCATACCTGGAATCATTATTTTTAATAGCTCAAAGCCATGTTTACAAATGTCACTTTACCCAAAGGTAAACAATAAGCAGAAAGTGCGGACTGAACACTAGAGATACATTAACCTTCTCTTACTTTATTTTATTTTATTTTATTTATTTAACAAGTTTGGATAACTTTCAAAGCCATAAAAGACAGAGAACCTCCTAAAGAATTATACTACTGTTTATTTCCTCAGAATGGAGACTAAATTACTTAATATTTCATTTGTTTCTGCTGTAATGTCTATACAAGATTAAATTCCTTCCCCTGATAAAGCTAGGGAGGCAGGTAGGTCCTGGTAATGTTTTCCTATTCCTTCCTCAAAGGCCTTTAGCACTTTCTCTGATACCATGCTAATAATATAACTGTTTCATTTTGTGTTTGCTCCTCCCCACCTCCTGTTTTTCTTTCACAGAGCAATGAAGAAGAATAAGTAAAAAATGTACTAGATAGATAACTATTTGGAATGCAAAAAAAAAGTGCATATATATATATGTAACTCACCATCAGCAGACTGAGCAGGAACGTGTTGTGCTTTCCTCTTAAAGCCAACTGAGAGTTTAGAAGAGAAAACAAATGAAAAGCAATTCATAAGATGAACAAGATAACACAGACTAAGATCAGTAAGCCTACGAACCATAAAATCCCTCCATCTGTCATCAGTGCAAGAGGAAATTCTAGTCTGGATTTCCTTGTTAGCTTGACACTGATGCCTAGCCATCCCTACCTATAATGCAACATTCCTATTGCAATTGCTTCTGTGCTTAGTGGATACTCTGTGCAATGGATGAGATTGTTTTTGCCCTTAGAGTTGAAGCTTACAGTTTAAGTAATGGTAAGAAATATTATTTTCCTGCTTTAGAGATGGGGAGCCAAGGTGCAAGGATTATCTGACCAAATGCAGGTAATTGCCTTTTAAAATTCCATTATAGGCAGACAGGTGAAATGTAAACTTCCAATATAATCCATGTCCTGATCACATAGATTCGCAGAGCAGGTTTGTTATATTTTACTCATGAATTGCTTATTTCTCTCCACTGACTATGAAGAGAACCACAGAACCTGGTCAGGTGAAGACATCTGCACCATAAACATCTGAAGTGACATGAGATGGATCCCTAACAAAAGAAGATGGACCAACTTGTCCAACATGATTAAAAAAAAAAAGGATCAAGCCAATTTAACACTAAATCCAGAGCTTCTTGGCATGGTCTGGTGCACTGATGACAATATCCAGCTTCTTCTGTGTTGCCTTAAAGCTCATATTGTCATGGAGTCACCAAAGCTGGGGAAGTTGCAGAAGACCTCCAGTCCTCAATGAGGTAGAAAATAGCCCTTCACACCAATGATACTTAGACAATACTCTGGGCACCCACCCCAAGGGACAGTGAAGCCAATTACATGGGACCACAGGATATTTGGACTACAGAACTAGTCAGTCTTACCTTGTATGATCCTGAGGCCAGCAGAGCATGTAGCTTCCCCATATTCATTTATAGCAAAGCAACGATACACATCAGTGTCATCTGCAGTGAGTTTATTTATCTTAAAAAGAAGAACATAGTAAGAACTTGCAGCCATGTACTGCAGTTCATTTATCCAACTTGTAATAAAACAGCTACTTGGTGAAATTTCAGAACTTTCTTCTGTTCTCAGAATGACTCAAAAAATGGCTCAGTTGACTTTTGTGCTATTTCAGACCTGATGATATCTATATATTCTTTTATTTGTGAAATAGTTAGACCCTTTTGCTCTTTCGGCACTTTTTAAAAGAATAAATTATCAGAATGTCATCACCTCTAGTATTTGCAATCTGCATCTATTTTGACCTTCAGCTTCTCTTCCTGTTTCACCCTGAAAGTCATTATATGGGTGGAGTGATGCAATTCAGTCCTGAGCTGTGTTTTAGGCTTTTCTAGTAGTTGATTACCTAACCACTTTTGCTAGATGCTGATGTTTCCACCCCGATAGCCCACTGCAGGCTTCCCCTTTTCATTGTGCTCCCCTCTCTGTGTTCTGTCCACAGTATTTGATCTTTACCTTCAGAATGTATTCACTTGTAACTTCACTGAAGAATATTTCATACTTGTCAGGATTGTCCATTTCTCCTTTTGCACGCCTCCATTTTACCTCAGGGGTTGGAACACCTTTGACCACTGCTCTGAAAATGGCATTTTTACCTTTTGAAAGAGGCAAGAAATTAGTTATTGAAGACAAGCTTGAGCATAAGGATTCTCACGCCAGGCTCCTTGTGTTATCAATAAAGTGACCCTCAGAGTGAGCCATTTCTGCTGTTTTGGACAGAAACATTCTTTAAAAATAATTCTTTTGGTTCTCCCTGTGAAGAATGCCTAAATTACCTATTTAATTTGGAGGAATTTGAGCATTTAATGTAAGATACCTGCAATAACCTAATAACCTTGACCAAAATTGTGCCAGTAGCACATCTAAGATGAACTTGCTATAGCTCTGTTGATTACAGAAATGATTAGAGGGTGTTAGCAGTCATAGCTGGCAGGCTAACACCCCATTTAAAGACCTTTTATGGTTGAATCTAGACAAACCCTGTCATTATTGACACAGGGAAAAGTGTCCACAGCCTAGACTTGAACTAAGGGACTAATTCCCTTGCACTCCAAATACACAGGCTCTGCTATCTGAAGAGGCAAGGAAGGGAGAAGAGAACAGGATTCACCTGTGAGGTCTCTCCATCTCTCCTCCTCTAATAACCTGAGTATACTGCAGCTGACCACTGAAATCTCCAACAGCTGCAGAGTCTTGGGAGACATAAAACAACTAATCAGAGAAATGACTCATGCGTAGGTAAGTGGGAGTGTCACACTGGAATAGAAAAGGAGATGAGTGGATGTTGCTCAGGGAGGAAATGATTACTATCTTTCCTTTGTAATAGTTTTGGTCTTCAGATGACCAACAATGTTAAAATGTCTCCCCAGAAAGTCTTGCAATATTTCCCACACCCTTCTGCAGTCACCAGCGAAAAAATACATAAGATGCAGCAAAATCTGTTGGCCATGCAGCCAACAGATTCTTACGAAAAGAATCTGTCTTCATATTTTTTTCCAAAATTGCAGTACCAGAGCTATTATTAAAGTCTGAACCCAATTGATTACACTTTTGACAAATCGTAATGGCTTGGAGTACCAGCTAATCCATGCACTGAATGAAATGATGCAACAATACAATTAAAGAAACTCAGAGTGCATCTGCATAGACGCTGATGCTCTTTACGCAATGGATGACCTTAAAGCCCTAATATTTTGTATATGGACCATGCAGAACCTACATTAAATGAAATAATATAGAAAGTTTAGACAGTATGACCTGACTAGTGTTTCGGTTCATGCCTGAAAGCTGGCAGGCAGAAGGCAGGTGGTGGAGGTTGGATGCACCACTAGAGGCCACTGTGCTTCTTCTTAACATTTCAATGGCCTATGGAAATCGACGCATGGGTGTGACAACACTGAAACTCAGGGTGCTAGAAATTCTTCAGGCTCGTGAGGAAGGAGGTGCTACACGAACTACGCAGGCTATCCACTCCAAAAAGATACTTGCTGTAAGGGTAGAAAGATTACCAGAAAGTTTCCCATTGATTTTGTGCCTTGGCTCATTATTTGCCTCCTCTGTACACTATGCACGATTTGCATTGCTTCTTGCTGGAGAACTACAGCCTAAATAGCACCAGCGGTTCCTCTTACTTTAAAAGGCAGATAATCTTGTGCTGAACATGCATGAATCAAGTTAGTGAAACAGGAAAATAAAAATCATAGAATCATTCAGGTTGAAAAAGACCTCTAAGATTATCTAGTCCAACCATCCACCACCTACCACCAATATTGCCCACTAAACCACATCCCTAAGTACCACATCTACCCTCTCCTTAAACACCTCCAGGGACAGTGACTCCACCACTTCCCTGGGCAACCCATTCCAATGAACATTTTTCAAGGTGTTTAACCTTTTGCTACAAAATACCTACCTTGAGATCTTCCTGCAATAATTCACAGGATTTGTTGTATACATTAGGAGCCATATTTTGATTGCACATACAATAGTTAAAACTCAGGAGAACTCCAGCAGTACTAATGGAACTTTCCTAAGTAGTACATAGACTTTGGCCACACAATACTTTTTGTGGTCTAGTCAAATCTCTTTAGAAACTAGCTTGATTTAATCTGGAAAATTGACATAGGATAGACATGGAATCAAGCCTGTGGGTCTGTGACTTTGACTTTTTTAAAAGAATCTCACCTTCCTGCAATGTTAGAGTGACAGGTTTCCGCTCAAAGTCAGGTGTACTGCATCCTTCTGGAATCCTATCCACAAATTGGGCAATATTTACTCCTGGGATAGAAGATTTCTTGTAGGATTTCACTAGAAAGGCAAGGAAAAATACATTCAATTAAGATAATGTGTTTGTGTTTCAGAAATGTTCGTGCAATCTGCATCACCTCCCTGTAGACAGGGAGGGTTTCTGCTCTGCTCCACTTGGACAAGAAAGGAACTATCCATTCTCGTACTTCAGGATGGGAATGTATCCACAGGCTGGAGCATTAAGGTCTGTGATTTTGTGTTGACTTATTGTGCAGCTGTGGCTGGAGTGAGAAAATTTGCGATCAAGATAACAGTCCAGGGCCACAACAGCTTACACACCTAGCAGTGTTTTGGACGGAGAATGCTTTTACGTCAGCCATTTTTCCAAAGAAAAATTCAAAGTCTGGCATGAGGAAAACCCAATTGCAAAGGTCAGCAGAACCTGATGGGCCAGTTTCTGGTGTCTCTCCTGGTGGTGGTGAGAGACAGACACCTAATTGCCAAACAACACCAAAAGCAAGTTGGGCTTATTCTCAGGGTTAGTCCAGATAGCCACAGCTGTGGCTGTTCTCTCACCTGCCCGATGGCTTGTCATGATGCTGTGCTCAGCTCAGCTGCTTGTGGTCAGCACAAATAGGCTCTCCTGTGAAGAAGGCAAAACATTTCATTATTTACAGTTCACAAAGGAAATGCAAGACCTTAATCCTGCTCACCTTTATGATGCAGTTTGCCCTTCCTGGCTTGCTACATCCCAGCATCCCAGTTGAGAAATGCCTGACAGTCAACACAGCTCTGCCACCTCTTTCCAAATCACATCGTGACAGTTTTGAACCATAAGCACAATGCAAACCAGGTAGGAAAATGGCTAGTGGGGCTAAACTGAAAACAAACACATCTAACAGCATCCCTCTGACACATCGTCCATTTACATGTCATCTGGCTTTCCTCCAAAGACCTCCTCTCATGTTTCAAGCAAATATTACACCACATGGCACTCACGCGCTGAGTTCTGATGGATGGCAAGAGCAGTTGCTGAGAAGAAAGCCACAGAGATGGATGTCTAAACTGGGGCACGAAGCAGAAGCACATCCTGATCTAAGTAAGCTCGTCTAAATTAGCAACAGACCTGAGAGCAGACTTTAAGCTAGTATTTACTCTAGAAGGAAATGGTGAAATGTGAACTTGGCATTAACTAGTTATTGTTATAGATCACTCATGTGACCCTCTGTCAAAGGCGTCTCTTTCCCTGTATTTATAAAGTGGACAGCATATAATGTAACACGTCACTGTCTTGCAAGCAAATTGTGAAGGCAGGTTTCTTGTCATATGAGAGATGGTCAGAAACTATAGAGTTACTGCAGCCCTGAAAGAGCAATTAGATTAGATTCCCATGTGGGATTAATGCTATGTCTCTGCTTACCCGTCTGCACTCCTTTGCTCAACACAGTCCAACTGTGTTGTGACTGCAACCCTTACCAGTTTTAAAAGGAAGAGGGACTTTGACAGCACACCTTTCACCTTCTTTCTGTTTCCTGTATCAACTGACGTTCATGCAACCATGAATTGCCACACTACACCTGATGAAAACACTGGGTAAGACTAAGTTTACATATCCACACACACTAGCTGGAACACTGATATTTTGGTATTATCTTATACCTTCTACTGTAAAAATCTGTTTGTGGTGTTGTAAAACTTGCAAATGAAGGGAATGAACAGCTCGTGGGAGGGAAAAATGCAAAACTGAAATGATTAAAAGATGATTCCAGGTTGTACCAGGCAAGGCACTGCACAGCAAGTGGCAGAGCTCTTCAGAGACTCTTAATCACCATCTCCTGATGAAATTCATTTGTCCTCCAAAGTACTGAACTGTATTAATAGCAAACACTATAATCCCCTCCTGCATTTCACAGTCTTGCATCTTCCTAAACATGTCACCACTCCAGGAGCTAAAATGTCTAACTCTACACAAATGTGACTACTTGTCATTAGCTTGCAACAGTATTCCCCTAAGATGTCTTTATGTTAGGCTTACATTCACCCTTCGCTTCTCAAGGCTTCTTCCCTTCTACATTAGGCAGTTCTGACAAGCATCTATACTGAAACATGAACATGGGCCTCAGGTCCAAAGCTGTTAAGAAATTTATTTTTTTCTTATGTTATCACGTGTCAAGTCAATCAAGGGATTTCAGGTGTGACTGTGGACATACACTAACGTAATTCCAAACTATAAAGAGATGAAGAAGAGAAAGCTAGGTTCCAAACCTAGCTGAAAAAATAAAAATTCTGACGATATTCATACAGATAGTAATAGACATCGTACTTGCATCCTCTCAATATGCACTGTGTAAACTGCTGAGTTAACATGGTCTTAAATATTTCAGAAATTGACATGGATTAAAGATAAGCTGCTGTGAGTCCTTAAACTCCTGTGAATTCTTGTCTTCTGGAGAGTGAGACAGAAGCATCCTAATGCCACACATTGACTGCACAGTTAAAATAACATTGCCAGGATATGCAAGAGAACATTCCTTCATTGGAATTAATCCAACCACGTCACATTTTCTAGTGTCTTCCATGTTAAATGTGGATTTGGAAATACCTTATCAGCTGGCATAAAAACTTTCAGAATATGTCCTGCTTACTTTTAAAATTTCTACTCCATTATTACATGAATAAGCCTTGTTTTTTACTTTGACTTCAGTTTAATCCTAGAAAAAAATAATCACAGGGTTTTTTGTTTGGTTGGTTGGTTTTTAAAGAAATGAAAGACAGCAAAAACCTTCCAAAAATTGTCATGGCAGAATTTATATCTCCACTCACAGTTGCCTGAACCAAAGCTCTCTGCACTAAGATGATCACTGATGTTGCCATTTAGTCTAAAGAGGCAGACAAATGCTTCCAAAGGGCAACCAACCCCTCCTCTATGAAATGCTCTTTACCGACAGTCCTAGCATAACAGGGCTAATGCTGGAAATAGCTCAACACTCTCAGTCCTCTGAAAAACAGAGGACTTCATCCTCTAGCCTCATTCAGATAACCAAGATAAGACTCGGCTATTTCTTATCCCGTGTAGAAGTCCATCTGGTTTTCAGGGGCGGAGATGTCCCCTTTGGAGACAGTGGCAAAGTTTCCACTGCTGTGAATGCAGAATAGAAGCAAACCCTTGAATACTGACAACATTTTTAAACTAACAAAATAAACCAGACAGCCTGACGGGATGGGAGGCCTGCCTTTCATCCTGTGTATCCATCACTCTATCTGGACGAGACAGTGCAAGAGCCCGTTCCCTTTTGTACTATGACTGGGCGCTAGTGATAGGGCCATAAATCAGCTAAGTGAATGAGGAAAACATTTGGAAGTCACAGGATTTGGTGGTACTAGTGATGTCACAAGTAGTTATTTATGGGGTTCAGACAGTAGAACACAGACGAGATATGACATAACTGCTGGCAGAGACTGATGAGCAAAATTAGGCAAACCTGCAGAGAAGTGACAGGCAGCACACAAGCGATTCATATGCAGGTGATGGATCCAGGGGCATGGGACTTACCATTGGCACAAGCACAGCACAGGTGGTGTACAAAGCTATTAGCACAGACCGCAATAGAAGATTTAAATCAGTGTAATAAATTAATCAGCAACAGATGCAGCATTCTATTTCTCTTTGTAATTCATAAAAATCGGGACAGTTCCAACACAGTGAATGTTCAGATTGTGTCTTCAGTCCCAAATCCAAGCTGTGTTTTACACTAGCACATCCAGATACTCATTGAGAAGAAAAATCTCCCACCTAAAATTTCTCTGTTAGCTTTGGGTAGGCTTTGTTTGATTGTTTGTTAACATTAAATAATATTTTGAGTTTGAGCCTTCCAATTTCAGAAGATTTTTTAAAGGAAAGTCTCATACTTCTGTTAGAGCTGCAAAACTGAAGGCCAGCAACTGTAAGAAGTGCAACTTCATGAAAACTTTTGAGTAGGTCACAGAGGGGGAATGCCACAAGTACTCCTGTGATGAATGGAGACCTTGTATAGAGCGAGGAGGAATGCCCAAGGATCAGATTTTATGTGACTTATTCCTTCGGAAAATCTATATTTGGCTTGATCTTCTCTTCTGCCTCAGGGATTATGAATGTAATGCTCATGCCGTCTACAATTTATGTATGCACACACCAGATACCACAATTTCTTTCAAAACAGACACACATTTTCATACAGTCGATGAATTTACAGCAAGTATTGCAAAGCAAATGCAAGTTTTACTTAATGTCCAGAAGAAAAAACAACTTATCCATACTTGCTGTCACAAGAAGCAACGCCTGCAAGACAACAAATCCTAGAAAAGAGAATATACCTGGGCTACATGTCACACGTTAGCTCCATGGGAAACTTGTGGCAGGTCTCCTAGAGCCTGCCTTCTGTCCAGGGAAATCAACTCTCACTGTAGGACTCCATCATTCCCAGAAAATTTACAAGCAATTTACAGACCACAGCAACACGCAGTCTACCAGACAGCAAAGGTTGCAGCTCATCCCCCCAGCTCTGTATCACCCGCACACAAATCTCAGTGACAGCATGACCAAACTCACTACCTTACAGGCTGAGCTTCTGAGCTGATCCTGCTTTAATTCAACACTGTGCCTCCTAGGACCGCGGTCTCTTTGTCCGTTGATTCAGATGACGGAGCTCTTCAAAGCTGTTCAAGAGGTCTCTCGGTCACAGATATCCGCGATCTGTATGGAAGAAACCACATCCCTTATTAATCTGCCCTAAATATCATTAAATGGGAGAAGAAAGAGTACATTCTTGTCCCCTTCGCACCTCTCCGCTCTCCTGGAAGGCAAGCCTGGGCTCAGTAGCTGCCGAGCCGGGATGTCTACACTGCACTGCGAGCGGTTGTGGGGAGTTGGTTATACACCCCCTACACTCCCACTGCAGCATGGGAGGCACACTTGAACCCGGCAAGCCTCAAGCAAGGCAGTTGGCCAGCTTGGTCATATGTGACCATCAGTCACGGCAACGGTGCATTTCCAAGTGCCAGCTGGGTCAAGACTTTGTGCCACAAGGGACAAACATTTGTGTGGATCAATGGTTTGTTCAAGGACAGGACAAGCTGTACGTCCAAGTTTTGTAGGACACACCAGGAGATGGGTTCTCAGAGGTCACGAGTCCGTAGGAGAGCTCATCATTCCTTAGCAGAGAAGTAGGAACAGTGGATTCTGGCATTTGTGCATTGGGAAACCAAGCCTGGGCTTGGTCTTCATAGTAGAACACAGACTGGGAGACTCTTGAGATGTCTGAAGGAAATAGTTCCTTCACACGGTTCACATGCTGTCATGGCTAGCAGAACCAGAACAAGGTTTCTTTTGGTGTCCCATCAAATTACAAGTTCTAAAACCCGTAATTAATGGGAACGTACAGTACACACTTGGTCCTGTAACTAAGACTCGTGTTATATTGGTCAAGGACAGAAGGCCCATGAAGGGCACCATTTCCACTAGTCTCAGAGAATTGATCTTTCAGTGGAAGAGACACCGGTGGTGGCAGCACCATCTGGCAACTGTTCCAACCCAGAGATGGAATCCTAGACCTATAGAATGCTTTGGGTTGGAAGGGACCTTAAAGACCATCTAATTCCAACCTCCCCTGCCATAGGCAAGACACCTTCCACTAGACCGGGTTGCTCAAACCTGGTCAAGAGCTTCTTTGCAGGGTTAGGGAACATCATTTTGATTGGCAATTTAAAAGGGAAACGGGAAAATTTCTTCTTTCTTCCTGACAGTTATGGCTGGTGACAATATTTACACTTTTCTAAATCATAAGAAAACAACATCAGTATAGGAAAATTTGATTGCTCAAGGTTATCTTAGGGCTAAGACCATTCAGTTTTACATCTGTTGTTACATTTGCAGTAGTAAAAAAGTAGAAGCAAGCCAAGAAATTAAGACAGTGCATTTCATCTGCTGCTGAAAAAACACTTTGACGCAGCAGCAGACACCACCTTCTAGCGTCCTAGTGGGTTTCCCATGACCTGTTCGTTGCCTAATGATCATCCCAAAAATAATTCCTTGGATGCTAGTCTCATGGGCGCAGGGCAGCAGTTGTATCACGCGGTTCTTTGGGAGCTGATGTCTTAACAGTGAGCACCTTGAATAAGAACAGCTGCTTCACGAGTCTTGAAGACGGTTAACACTTCACGTAAGCCATGGGTTGCACCCCATTGACTGGTTTCTACTGAAACCTGAATTCAGTTCTCACCAGCTGTTGCAAAAGCCTTCCACTTAGCAGAGTTAGCCCAACTAGAGGACGTAAGCTATCCAGAGCCGTGAGGCTTACTGCAGCTCCCCAACCTACATACGCTGAAAATTGCATTGCCAATGGTATTTAGTCTCAAATCACATTTAGCTCTTGGAGTCAGCCTGAATGGCTGAGGAACTCCTAGCTATGTAGATAGGCACCAGGAGAGCCACAATTCTGCCTGGTGCACTGGACCTAGACCTAATAAGGCTTTGCCTTATTTCCAGCCCTGGTTCACATAGGTTTTACTGGGTGATGGGGGGGAAGGGATGGAGACCTCTCCTATAAGGGACTGATAACTTAAAACCATCTGTGACCGAGTAAACCCCTCCAAGAGGCTGACCTTCTTCCATTTCACAGCTTGTTTTCCACCCGCCCACCCAAAAGTCCTGTTAACCCCTGCATGCCAGTGGATAAACTAACACATACCATTGAAAACCCGCAAAATGTCAGAACGAAGCCCTGTACATTCAGCAGCGGTCACCGCTTTCAATGCAAAGAGGGTGCTATTTTCCCTGGAAGCAAGTTCATTCCCCTAATGAAGGGCAATGAAGAAGTGTCAAGAGGCAACAGCTGCAGGACAGATATTTCAGGACTGAATTTAAAAGTACATTTTAATTAGAAACAGAAGATTGGAAGAATCGTGTTTTCTCTGTAATTCCCATCCTCTTTGGTATACATGAAATCACCAGTCAGAACTGGTAGAAGACTGGCACAACTCTTCCTAGAGACTATTGGTGCCTACTACATGGCCCAGACAGAGCAAGGAGTAAGGAAATTAAGACCTCAAGAGTCCAAAAAGCTGAATAGATTTTCCAGTCTGCCAACAGACAACCAAGGTCAAAAGCTCATCTCCCATTAGAGCCACTTGGCTAAGCCACACCATCCTCGGCAGCATGGGTATCTGGTCAGTCACTGCACTGAAGGTCAGGGTGATGTCAGCAGGGCCTTTGGGCAGAAATATTCAGAGATAAGCAGTGGGTCAAGATGTACAAAGCTCAAAAGTCAGGTACAACATCCACTTTGGCATATTAGCAGCAAGATTCTCACAAACACAATATTCAAAAATACAATATGAAAAAAAAAGTGCATTCAATTAAGGATGGGTAAGGGCATAGAAAATGGAATAAAAGTCTAAATTCGGCAAAGGCTATCATTTACCTGCAGCCCTGTTTACTATATTCAATCAGGTGAATCTGACAGTACTGGCCTCACTGGTCATGTACATGTACAGAGACATTCCTTCCATCAGATCATGCTAGGAATTAAATGGATCACAGAACAGCATTTGTTTTTTTTAAACAGGAAAGCACCCTGCATCAGGATGAGCAATAGTCACGCCATGCACATGGCTGCCCCAGATGAGTCTTCTGGACTCACATTTGATTTTATATAAATGTGGTGCCCCAAAAACTCACGGTTCCATCTCAGCAGATGTCCATGCCCAACCCAGCCCCTCAACACCAGATCCTCCATGTTGTACATTGCAGAAGAAATTTAAGGGACTATTTTAGAGCCCAAAGCCTTGGTTATTTTTACATCCCACATCCAAGATGCCAGTTTCCCAGCAAGCTGAGGTCCATCATCACTATTCATACAAAGCCATGATTAAACCCACTGCAGTTAGCTGGATTTTCACACACTGAGATGCAACTCAATATACAGAAAAGATTAAAAGCAGTGGAACAAATTCAAGAAGCACCAGTACTCCACTTTCACACTGCAGATTAGCTCCCTCCTTCCCACGGTGTACAGAATGCCTACTATTTCCTTCAGGACTGATTTAATCTGTTTGCATCCATGACTGACTGAAGGGGGTTGCTAGCACAATCCAGAATTTAAACGGAGCCTGGCTGCCTCTAAACCTGATATTCCTACTTTTCTCTTGTGGTAGCTGCCCACTTTGCTGCATGCTCCAATGCCTGAGCTGGTCAGTATTTGGAATTTCCTTGCTGTTTTGCATTTGGGAAAACAAAATAGATGGCAATAGGGTTTTTAACATGGACTCAGCAAGTATGTGATTAAACATCAACATAGTACCGGACTTATCAGCCCTTCAGTACTTTTCACCTCTCCCTGAGACACTAACAAAAATTATATTTTAAACACATTGACCTCTTTAATGAATGTAGAGAATAAGGTATGCTTTAGCTGCTTTCATGTGACCCCATATGGTTACTGGGATCTGCCAAACATCTTCTGCACCAGTTACAGTTATATGTGTATGTTTGAACCACTCCGCATGCACCAGCACTCGAGCACGCACTCACTGCACAGTAAGGCAAGCTGCGCTATTCAGATGCCGCAAGGGATTCAAGTTATGAGGCTTCTTCTCATTCCCCCCACTTTAAATCTACACGCAAAAAGAGCACCTAATAAATACCCCACTTCTGATTTGTTTCCCCAACCTGCCAGTAGCAACAGATGAGAAATACCCAGTCCTCACATTACAAACTATTTTAATATTTCATACCCTCACATGCAAGGAAGTTTGTCACTGAAACAAATACTACAGAAAATCCCTCTGAAATTCCAAGAAGCCACAGCACACGCTGCCTTCCCACTTTCTTTGCAGGATGCCTGAACATTATTTTCAACATTGTTCTAGTACTGCCCTGCCCGTCCTTTGCCTGCACAAGTTAATGCCTGGCACCCACAGAGGTGACAGAGGACTCCCGTTGCTGGGAATGCTGTCCCATTCCTTCTGAAGGCTGTCTTCTGTCAAACTGTATCCAGCACTCAATTGTCAGAATAAAATAAGTCTTACCCAGAGCTAGAAAATTATGCCAGCACACAACAGAGAAATAATTGAAATAGAAAGAAATAACCATGATGAAAGGAGAGGATGTCTCTCCCCTTCAACCCCTGCTTGCCCCAGGAATCCGACAATTTCACAAAAAGGTCACAGAGTTTTCCTTTATGTGGGTATAGAACTAGTGGTGTCCACTATTCCCCACCGGTCAGCTTTTCTGCCTTGTGAAGGTGATCACAAGGAGCTCAAACATGCCTTTAGCTAACAGTAACCACAGCTACTCAAACAGGTAAAAAGCACTGACCTACACACGTCTCCCAGGAGTCCTCTTCTACTCTGCGTGCTGTCAAAGCTGCAGCTCCCGTGTCCTTTCTGCAGTCAGTGCTCAGCTGTGGGATCAGTGCTGGGTCCCTGGGATCCTCCTCAGCTGCTCCCTGTCTCGACTTCTGCCTCTCCTTCTCTCACACTTAATCTCTCTCTCTCGCCCTCTCCCTCTAGTAGAGGAAGCCTGTCACAGAGCTGTTAGCCTGTGAGACATCCAGATGATTTTTTTTTTTTTTTTTACGGGAACCTGATGCACCTGTCTCCTATTTGTTATTATTTCAGTCCATACCAGTAAGGGTGCTGGACAAATCTGAGATGATTAACATAATTCTTCAGTATTTGACAAGTAGTTTGGAGTGG